CTCTAGAAAAAATGATTCCAGGGCAGATCCCAGGATTTGAGGGATCCCCTTATTATGAGTTAGCTGTTACCATTGAAAAATGGGGTCCCTTACGTGTTATGGGCAATATCTTCCCATATCGCATGGTGGACTATTTTCAAGGACTTGGCAAGGATATCCTTAGCACTAAAGAAAGACAATTGGCTTTCTCCATGGTGGCATGGCCTCTATTAACTGCCTTAAATCATGCGGATATAAGAAATAATACTTTAGAAACTGAAAATCAGCTTTTGAAAGACCGCATTGAAAAGCTGGAGAACGAACTTGGTATTTTAACAGGGAAGAAGCCAATTCTACATCTTCCCGTAGGACAAATTCGTAACATTTCAATAAATGATGACCAGACTCCTGAATCAACAGACTTCGTTGATCAAGAGAACAAGAAATCCAAATCAGACCTTGAATGTCCAATTCTGACTGATCCACTGGAAGTCCATCCTGTCATAACCCAGAAAACAAAAAAAGTACAGGACAGACCGGCGGGGTGCTGCCTGATCAATGGCCTCCTGCCCAGACTCATTTACACGTAACAGCTCGGCCACACACAGCAACAGAATTGATGGACTCAGTACAGTGATTTCGGCAGAAGCCTAGAGAAAGTGTGCCAGCTTGGTTATTGAGACTATGGGATTCTGGGGCAGAAAGCGTCTTGGTGAATGGCCCAGAAATAGCTAAGTTGGCCACCATGACCATCCATCCTGCTCTCAGACAGAGGTTATACGTGGGTAATCAATATTGTGATGAGAACCATTCTATACTAGAATGGTTAATGGCGGCCTGCCGTATGGTATGGCCGAATAAATTGGACATACCTTTACATACAGGCATGTGGTCCTCCATGGAGGACCTTCAAAATTATATCCGCGAACTGGGTGTAAGAGAGGCCATCTATGAAGATACATTTGATGGCCCTGGTATGGTTAAATTTTCAGCAGGGATGAGAGATTTAATTTTACAGCAAGCTCCCTCCCATCTGTATGGCACCCTAGTCTCCATATTAAATCCCCTTGTAGCGTCAGAAGCCGTAGTCCAGCAGGCTGCCCAGTTAGTTGCCAACTTGGGAGAAACAGAACGCCTGCGGACTAGGCGCAATATTCGGTTTTTGGAAGAAGCAGAGGTCCTGCCGGTAAATAAAACCAAAATGCTGGCTACTCGAGCTCCTCCATCGGGACCCATAATGGTATCCCAAAAACAGATGTTTAATGATTTAATTCGGGCTGGGGTCCAATTTGCTAAGATCGACCGCCAGCCCAACCATGTCCTTCTCCAGCTCTGGAGACAACTAAAGGACAATCAAAAATTCCAGAGCTACCCTAAGAAATCAAGGGTAAGAGCTACAGAGAGGGTTCCAACAACAACATGGAACCTAGAAGATCTTATTGTTTCAAATAGGAAAAAAAAAAGCCACCTCAGGTGTCTCGGGCCACAATGCCTGAGCCGTTGGAAGCAAAAGAATTGGCCCTAGCACAATTCATGGAGTGACAAGGGATGTTAGTCCCCGTAGGGCCTCCAGATGGGACCGGAGGCCCTATGTAGAATTAACGATTTATTGGTCCCGAAAAAGTATTCAGAGAGTGATGGCATTGGTAGATACGGGAGCAGAAACATCAATTATCTATGGAGATCCGGGAAAATTTGATGGCGACAGAGTGATGATTGGTGGTTTTGGGGGACAGACTATTCCTGTCACCCAAACGTGGTTAAAATTGGGGGTTGAGCATCTCCCACCCCGGGAGTACAAGGTGTCTATTGCCCCAGTCCAAGAATACATCCTGGGCATAGATATTCTATGGGGTCTGGCTCTCCAAACAACTGTGGGAGAGTTCAGACTTCGACAAAGTTGTATCAGTATCTGGGCGGTGCAGGCAATATTAAGAGGCCATGCGAAACATGGGCCTGTTTGCCTGCCGAAACCGCGTCAGACAGTATAGACTCCTGGGTGGGCAAGATGAAATATCGAGAACGGTGCAGGAATTAGAAAAAGTGGGTATTATAAGACCTGCACACAGCCCATATAACTCCCCCATATGGCCAGTGCGAAAGTCGGATGGCACATGGAGGATGACAGTGGATTACAGAGAATTAAATATGGTCACACCGTCTATTCATGCGGCCGTATCCAATATTGCCTCCCTAATGGACACATTGAGTAGGGAGATAAAAACCTATCATTGTGTCCTAGATCTAGCAGATGCATTCTTCAGTATTCCAATTGCTGAGGAATCACAAGATCAATTTGCATTTACGTGGGGAGGCAGGCAGTGGACCTTTCAGGTCCTGCCACAGGGGTACGTGCATTCACCAACATATTGTCACAGTCTAGTGGCGCGTGACCTGGCTGATTGGGGAAAACCTGATGATGTTAACCTATATCGTTATATTGATGATCTCCTGTTGACATCCGACTCACTGGAGGCAGTAGGACAGGCAGCAGATTCATTAACCGCCTATTTACAACGGAGGGGGTGGGCTACAAATCCCCAAAAGGTGCAAGGTCCAGGCCTGTCCGTAAAATTCCTGGGGGTGGTTTGGTCAGGAAAGACCAAAGTGCTACCCAGTGCTGTTATAGATAAGGTTCAGGCGTTTCCAGTCCCTACAACATCAAAGCAGCTGCAGGAGTTTCTAGGTATATTGGGTTATTGGCGTTCCTTTATACCTCACCTAGCGCAGCTGCTAAGGCCACTATACAGACTCACAAAAAAGGGGCAGCTATGGGACTGGGGGAAAACCGAACAGGATGCTTTCCAACAAGCAAAACTGGCAGTTAAACAAGCTCAGGCATTGGGTGTATTCGATCCTACCCTCCCAGCAGAGTTTGGACGTTCATATTACTCAAGACGGCTTCGGTTGGGGCCTGTGGCAACGCCAGAGCTCTGTTTGGACCCCCATTGGTTTCTAGTCTCAGGTTTGGCATGGAGTAGAAGAAAGACACAGTATGATTGAAAAAGCCTATTCGGCATTACAGGCAGTAGAGCCAATAACTCAAACAGCTGCAGTTATAGTCAAGACCACTCTGCCAATTCAGGGGTGGATGAAAGATCTGACCCACCTTCCTAAGACAGGAGTGGCCCAAGCACAAACAGTGGCACGATGGGTTGCCTATCTCAGCCAAAGGAGCAGTCTGTCTTCATCACCCTTGAAAGAAGAACTCCAGAAGATCCTAGGCCCAGTTACGTATCACAGTGATGCACCAAAAGAAATACTGGTCGCTCCACCAGAGAAGAGTCCTGTTCAGGAGGGAAAATATCCTATCCCTGAAGATGCCTGGTACACAGACGGGTCCAGCAAGGGCAACCCGAGCAAGTGGAGAGCAATAGCATACCATCCTTCCACCAAGACAATCTGGTTCGACGAGGGGGATGGTCAGAGCAGCCAATGGGCAGAACTGCGAGCAGTGTGGATGGTTATAACCAAGGAACCCGGTGATGGTATCCTGAACATCTACACAGATTAGTTGGGCTGTATACTGGGGCTCACTCTTTGGATTGCACAGTGGGCCACCCAGGAATGGACTATCCACACCCAACCGATCTGGGGCAAAGACATGTGGTTAAATATATGGAATACGGTCAAACACAGGACTGTATGTGTCTACCATGTTTCTGGTCATCAGCCCCTACAGTCACCGGGAAACGATGAAGCCGACACACTGGCCCGAGTTCGATGGATTGAGAATTCACCATCTGAGAACATCGCCCGCTGGTTACTTCAGAAGCTACGGCATGCTGGACAAAAGACAATGTGGGCAGCTGCTAAAGCATGGGGACTGCCCATACAACTATCTGATATCGTCCAGGCATGCCAGGATTGCGACGCTTGCTCCAAGATGAGACCGAGATCGTTGCCTGAAACAACAGCCCATCTTGCTAGGGGACACAATCCTCTCCAGCGATGGCAGGTCGATTACATCGGGCTCGTTCCGAAGGGGCAAGATACGCCCTGACCTGTGTCGACACTGCAAGTGGGCTACTGCAGGCCTATCCAGTACCTAAAGCAAACCAGGCATATACCATCAAGGCACTCACTAAACTGATGTCTGCCTACGGGACACCTCAAGTCATCGAGAGCGACCAAGGGACTCATTTTACTGGTGCAACGATACAGCGCTGGGCAGAAGAAAATAACATCGAATGGTGATTCCACCTGCCATATAATCCAATGGGGGCAGACCTCATCAAACGTTATAACGGTATTCTTAAGGCTGCCCTGAAGACAGACTCCCAGTCCTTGCAGGGGTGGATGAAAAGACTGTATGAAACCCTGCGGGACCTGAATGAAAGACCTCGAGATGGCAGACCCAGTGCCCTGAGAATGTTGCAGACGACATGGGCCACCCCGCCCATGGGTAATTGGGATCCAAATTACAGGCACTGATCATCAGGTAAGACCCCAGATTGGTAACGAAAATAATCTTCTGCTCCCTGCCCCTGAGAATTTAGAGCCGGGTACCCATAAAATAAAATGGCCCTGGAAGGTGCAGGTAGGACCCAAGTGGTGTGGCCTACTTGCACCTTGGGGGAGACTATTGGAGGTAGGAGGCTCAGTAGTCCCTCCAGTAATAGGTACATGGCCTACTGATATTGTAGTCAACACTCCAATCTTCATTGCTAAAGGGACCCCCATCGTGTCCCTGTGGCAGATCAGGACACCACCTGTACATACGAATATATGTCTTCTCACTAGTAGATTTCTACCTGCTCAGCCAGAGGTGAACGTCATGAGGCCTCTGGTAATGCTTGTGTTTGCGTGAGTACCCCGTGTGCCTGTCTTTGATTCCCATGGCTGTCTGTGCATGTACAAATATGTCTGTGTGTGCTCTGTGTGTGCACTGACTGAGAATACATGCTCATCCTCACTGCTTGTTGGACCCTGGGGCATGGAGCTGCATTAGCCTTGCCTGTGCTGGAGCTGCTGGATCTGGCTGGATTCCTCTAATGCTCCCCACACAACAACATGAGGTACCTGGGAAACATCAATCTCCTTTTCTTCTCCCTGAGGTTTGTCACCTCTAGCAGCAGCCTCCTGTTCCGTGGGAGCAGCACCCTCACCAGCTCCTGCTGCCACCACCACACTGTCTTCCACTCCACCGTCCCATCTGCAGCACTCACCACCTCCAGAATAAAAGGAGAAACCTTTCAGGACGTGAGCTGTGGATATCAGCTGGAGATATCCTGTCCTCTGCTATCTCCTTAGGTGCTGCTGGCCCCTGGCTTTGGTTTCACTGGGGTTTCTCCTGACCCAAGGGGAAAGCAGCACTGGAGGCTGCCATCCTATACCTGAAGCACCATGTAGGGAGCACAGGCGTAGGCTTGCACGACAAAGCTCGTTTACAGTCAGGAGAGGGACATTTACAAAACCTTCCTCTCAACATGCAGTAGAGTTTCAGATGGGTATTGCTAGTGTAGGAAACATTTCTCTAGGCTCGTGTGTTCTCATTGCCTCTTCTTTCTCACACCTATACAACGGCCTCCTTCCACTGCTCTCTGGAACAGTTATGGGACTGCATTCTCAGGGCTGATTTGCCTCTGAGCTGTGTGGTGTGAGAAATTCCCTGCAGGTTCAAGGTGAGTTGAAGCTTGGCAAACTGTCCGGAGGTCCCCTGTGCTACTGAAAGTCTGCTCTAGGGAATAGGCTGCAAGCCTGCTCCAGCTGCTGTCTGCAATCTCTAGACCTGGACTGCCTTCAAGAGCAATAGTTAGACTCCTTTTGAACAGAGATGTGCAACTTGGGCTATGTTAGCTGAAGCAAATATACTCTATAGCTAGATAGAGGTTAGAAATATTCAGATGTAATCAGGTATCAGAAAATGTTAGCCTATAGCTAGGCCGATTTTAAAGAAGAAAGAAACAAAAATAAAGACCGAGTAGATTTGATATGACTGAGTCATTTGTCATTAGTCTGTGTTGGAAAGTCAGTATGCATTTTATTTCAGTTATTGAAAGGTGGATAGAAAAGTACCTTCCTGAAGGCCATTGCTAAATCCTTCCTCCAACAGAGGTAATTTATGTATCACCCCAACATTTGTGTTGGTACATACTGGTATTTGTTTACAGTAATACACTTGAATTAAGTTTTCTGTAGATTCGTCTTGATGGTGAAGGTAAATATAAAAAACACATTCTGTCAATTCAATTGGCTTCAGTTTTTAACACTAAGAAAGTTAAGTTTTAACACTAAGCTTAAGTTTTTAACACTAAAGAAAAGCTGTTTTCTAGGTACCAGCGTCAAGCTAAGTTCAGCAGAAATTCAGTTCACAGCCTGATGCTCTGTTTCCTCAGTTTGATTTTCCACCCATGAATGAGACTAATGCAGCTCTCTGAGCTCAACTTGAACTGTCTGCATTTGTTCACGATCATTCTTCAGTCATTGTTTTTCAGCTCTATCTGCCCCTAGTGGCTGACATTAACTGATGTGGTAAATAAATTCTTCTGCAGTCCTTGAAAGCAGGAAATACTCCAGTGTTTTGCAGAAACCACTGGAGAAGTTTTAGCTTGAACTGAAAATTCTGCTAGGGAAGGATGCTCTGCCACAAACAGAAGTATTATCAAAAGATATGGACAAGTGTTGACATCTTCTCCTGTGACTTGTAAGGCATGCAAACCTGTCCCACAGAGTATTACCAATTTAGCAGTCTTGACCCAGGCTAGTACTCAAATAAATGGTGGATACAGAAGCCTTGGAAGAGACCAGTATGAAAGGAGGGGAACAGAATGCCTATCAGAGTGATTTCATCACATGTGCTTCTAACAGCATGCTGCAGACACTGATCTTGCTGCCTGTTGTGATTAGGATCAACATTTATTTTCTATTTACTGGATTTGTATAGCCAATTTTCTTTTACGGTGGAGGAAAATTTTAATTTACATGAGTCAGCTTGCAAATAGTCAGCACTGAAAGAATGATGCTCTCAACAGCTGTAGCTGTAACTCACTGAATGCACAGCACATTCACATATGCAGAACTGGGTATTTCCCGTGCCTTAGAATACAGAACCAAAGCAAGATAGGCAATTAAAAAATGGCTTTTACAAAAGCTTGTATATGCTGTGGAACAAAGGCAAATAACATAATCAAACAGTTCATCAGCTCCTTGAGATACAGATTCTAAGCAATTACCAATGAGGAGTGACAATTTCTTTCTCATTTCCCTACCTCTCTTCCTGCATTTAATAGGTAGCTCTTCTTCCTCTGCTGTTCTCCATGCACGCTCAAAAACATTACAGTTTCAATTCTGTACAAAAGGATTGATAGTGTCTTGCTTTATATAAGCAAAATACAACCATACCACCCTTAGATTTCAACATGCCCACCTAAAGAGAAATTAAGTATGTCCCTGAGTTTTTCAGTTGCTTTGTAATTTACCTCATTCAGTGCCAGATTTGTATTTTAGAAAACAAACTTGTGGCATGATTATTTTCAGCTGTGCAAGGAAAAACAAATGAATCAAAATTCCTTTTCCTTTTTAAAGATGTTTAGAGGAAGGCTAGACAAACAAATTCAAGGGAAACGTAAAAGCTACTGTGAATCTAGGCAGCATATTCTCTCTTTACCACGAATGTCAATAGAAACAGCATTATGTCACTTTCTGTTCATGGATCTGATTGTTTTCTGTCCCAAAATGTTTATCAGTCTGTACTGCTGCAACAGGCAGTTTCTAAGGTAGGTCTTGCATTGAATGAGAAATGTTCTGGTACCACAGCTGGGTCACAGTCATATTGTATTGTCTGCACATTGATTACATGCAGATGATGTTTCTATATTTTTGCCACACTCCTCTTGAAGATATTAAAGCACAACCAAATTCCTGAGGTTGCTCATACGTACCTCGCTCTCTTTCTCAGCAATTCCAGTTGTCTCCTTATCTCTGCCTCAATACTCTCCCTGTATCAAGAGGAAATATGGTCATCATCTTACTCATACTGAGGGAATCACTGCAGGGAAATTGGCATTAATCAAACTCAGTGGAAGAATGGCACGTATGGGATGTGATGAAATGAATGATGGGAACTAAACGGGACAGCATACAGGGAGTGGAAAGATTCTCGCTGCTATATATCTGAAATAAAGGTAGCTGTAAGAGAACAGAACAAGAACACAGCAAAAAACCACGATAAATAAAGCCTGTTAATTACATAATGATCACCACACTGGAAGTGCTAGTGTCAATTTTATGTACTTTTGCTATCAGTATTCTCAGAATAGCACCATACTAAATGAATGTTTTTGTTAAGCAACAGCCCAGAACGTTGCTGACCTTACAGTTTTCCAGCTACCTCAACTTTCTCCCACCCAAAACTGAGAATGTTCCCATCATAACCTGCTGCTGCCCCTGTAACTCACCAGTTTGCAGGAAAACTTTCTGGAGCACTTCTTCCACACACATTGGGCTGAAACACACGTAAGGGGATTGTTCAAAGAGGTGGGTCACAAAGCTCATCAGTTTGTGCAGAATCACTTTCCTCCAGGTCCATACTCAGCTGTACATGCAGTGGGTGCCTGACATTTAAAACAGCAGACGTGTCAGTGGCTCTAAATCTAGCACCCATGAAGATGTCCAAGGGATCAATTGCTCTGAACAGTGATGCTCTCCACCCCAAACAATACTTTTTACAGCACAGATGGGATCTAACACAAGGTCCTTTCCTACAGAAGCTGTAAAACTGCATGAGTTCCATGTTTGGAAGAGGAAAAAACGTACAATTTCCTAAACTCTGTGGGACAGTTGTGCCCCTGCTGGTTTCCAGTTCTACTGTAGCATTTTGGGATTCAGTCAGCAACATCCCTTCTGCTTGAGCTTGGATTCAGTTCTGGCTATTGCTCAGCCTGGATCAAGAGGTTCAGGTCCAGTTTAGGTCAACAAACACTCAAAATGGCTGTAATTCATGTCTCATTTGGAATACTTGGAAGTGCTTTTCTCCTCTGCTCAGTCTTGGCTTCAAGCAGATTGTAGGATATTTCTAAAGATGCTTTTCAGAGGAAAAGTAAATCTAAGCCCCCTTATAGAAATCTCTTTCACTAATAGATGTTGAGACTGCTTTACTAACACACATGTCAGATTTTTCAAAAGCCCTGTGTATAATCAAGATGTTATAATCACAATATAACTGTATAATCAATAGATATCAAGATGTTATAACCACAATATAATCAAGAGAATTTTGCAAAGTAAACAACTATCACAAAAGAGAATAAGTGGAAGAGCTTACCCTTCGGCTGAGCTCACCAGAAGACACCAAGAGAGGTGATCTCCAAAAGAGATCCTTCTCCTCTGGTAGCCAGCTCTTAAATAGGGCCAGGAGGGGTGGAGCCAGGCTCCATCCCTTCCAGCAGCACTGGTGAATTGCCTTCACCTGTGCTCCTCTGGCTGACTCGTGGCTCGCCTCAGGTGATTAATCAGAGGTTCAGGCCGTGACTCAGCAGTTCCCATACACCCTGTAAGGGTGAAGACAAGTCATGCAGATCTGTGTGAGTGCAGGTAGAGCAGATCGCCATCTTCAGCACTTGTGATCAGACCTCAGTGCTCAGCCTCCAGCTCACTGCCTCCACACACCTGCCACACCAAAATTCCTGCAAGTTTCACCTGAAATGCTTGCATGTTATCTTGTTTAATAAAAGGATGCTGAGTTAATCCAAACTTCACTTCACTCATGTGTTTTCTAAGCTCATCTTCCTGCAGTCACCTCATAAGACCCAGACCTGTCCAGATGCCAGGGAAAGGCAGCTGCTGACAGCAGCGTTACCATGCAAACCCCTCACAGCTTTATCCTGTTAAAACCGCAGTGTGACATCACCTCTTCTTTTATACATACAGGATTAATTCTTCTTTCAAGCTGCCAAACCATGCTGTGAAGACCTGATTTTTACATTAATTTTAAAAGAGACTGCAGAGGGTCTCAAACAGAAAAAAATCCCACGAGCTTCAACAAGCTCCAAAATATAATTATTTCTTACTCCAGCAAAGCATGCATGCTTGCTACAGCATGTTGCTCTTTTATTTTTTAACAGCAGAGGTAAACAAATATTTCTATTGCCTCATAAAAGCCATGTGTCTGATGGCAATGGCAAGCTGGTACAGAAACAGGAGATGGACATGGGGGACAGACCACTCACCGCAGCCTTCTCTGTTGGCTCATCTGGCTCAGCAGGGATGGCCTCCTTTCCCACAACAGCAGCAGCAGGGGTTTCCTCGACCTTGACTTCCCCAGGTGGAGCTTCTTCAGCCTCAGTCTTTTGTTTTACGGATTTCTAAGTAAACAGTGGAAAATTTGTTGAGGAGCACATGATGGTGGGGAGGGAAGAAGGGAATGGGAGCTCTGCCTGGCATTACAGTGCTGCTTCACTCCTAGCAGACTCAGTGCCAATGGCTTTGCCAGGAAAAGGACAGTCTTACATTACTAATGATCATCTACAGAGCATCTTCATTCTCAGTGTCCTGCACAGAAACTGAGTCAGTCCTACATCCCTCCCTTGCAAGGAAAGAGAGTGCTGGCTTCCTGACTTATTGAAAGCAGCAGCAGAAATGGAAGAGAAGTACTCAATTTGCTCAGAAATGCTCTAGAAAGTGAGGGCAAAGTGAGGAGTGTCCCAAAGTATGATTTCAAACATGATTTTTTAAAATTATCCCCTATCCCCCTAATTCCACTAGTTCTCAGACAAAAAGATCTCTTCTCTGTTGAAAGGGTGCAGACTCTGTTTTCACATAGGCAAGTACTAACTGCATGAATTCTGACACTGAACATAATAGAATCATAGAATGGCTCGAATTGGAAAGGAACTTAAAGACCATTCAGTTCCAATCCCCTTGCTATGGGCCACCCATTAGATCAGGATGATCAGGACCAGAGGCATCCAGAGCTTCTCCAGGCAGCCTGTTCCAGTACCTCACCACCTTCTGAGTAAAAAAAAGTCATCCCTAGTTTCTTTTTAATGCTTATTTCATCCTGAGACCTCAATCACCTACAAAGCTTCCGTTTATCGGCCATGCTTCTTCTGCAATTCTTACCCTCTAAAATTCTGGCCTATGCTTATTCTTTAGGAAGCGTATCTAGTAAACATCACCAGTCCTGCAAGATGTTTGGTCCTGCAGCAAAACAGCTCCCAGCAAAAGTGCTATTTCTGCTGGGGACAAAGCCTTGCAAACACACACACGCTAAAGGAGAAAGCTGCAAGCTGTGCTCAGCATATTGCATCTATAAAGATGGCTGACTCAGCCAGATTAAATAACCCCAGTAGATGAATTTGCCATGAACAAAGGACTGTTTACTTGTCCTAAACTGACTCTCTGCACTTCTGAGCAGCCTTTTGCGGCACAGAAGTTCCTTCAGACAGTCACTGAGCACTTTGTTGCTCTACCAACAATTCTGAACCCACAGCACCTCAAAGCCCCTTCAAGAGCCCCCAGCTACTGCCCTGCGCCCTCCAGTTCTCCCTGCTGCCCCGTAAGAACCTCAGGATGCCAGCAGCACCTCGTGCCTTAGGATGCCCGTTGGATTTCACAAGGATGCACTCATCTCCTGCATCGTGATCATTGGCAAAAATATCCAACGGCGCTGACGCGAGCCGGGGGCTCAGTGGTGACAAACCTGCTGCGCTGCAGCGTGTGCCCAGTGCCTCCGGTCCCGCTGCTGGGCACCGCCGGGCACAGCCCGGCACCGTCCTCTCCGCGCCTCCCTACACGGACCGATGGCCGCGCCCGGGATCCCTCCGAGCCTCCTCTTCTGCAGGCTGAGCCGCCCCAGCTCTCCAGGAATCCCACCCCAACCATTTCCCACGCGGTGCCGAGGAGGGGAGGGGGTGTGGGAGAGGAACGGGGCCGGCGCTCGCAGCGCTACGACATGCCGTTTGCGCCGCCCCGTCCTTACTCGGCGGTGGGTACGGGGACGGTGTGGCTTATCGGAGCTGCAGAAACGACCGCGGGCAGAAGCGCCGAGAAACGAACAGGAAACGTTTAATCGACAAACGCACAGAGCGATAGAGAAATGACCGCGCTCCCAGCTGGCAACTGCGGAGGACGGCTCGGTGCCGGCGGGGGACGGACGGGCCCCCGCGCCGCCTTCCCCTGAGCACCCGGCGTCCCCAAGGCACGGGGTGGGCGGCGGCGGGGCGGCGAAGCGCCGCTTTCCCCGAACAGAGCCCTACGCCTCCGCAGCCGCAGCCGCCATTGCCGGAGAGCCCGCGCTCGGCCCCGCCTCCGCTGTGCCGCCATTGGTCATTCCGCAGAACGGGGCGGGGGCCGCTCGCGGGGTCCTTTCGTTCCGCGGTCGCGCCGTCGTTGCGTCATCACCGCGCGCGTCCCGGATGGCCCCGGCCCGGCTGCCCGCGCCGATGCCTGTCGCCGCGCGCCCGCTCCGCTTCCGGGGCCCTGGGGCGGCCGGGCCCTGGCCGGGGCTACAGAAGGAGGAGGGCGGGGACTCGGGGGACCGCGGCGAGGCCGAGCCCGAGCCCGCGCAGCCCCATTCCGTGCCGGCCTTCCTGGAGAGCAACGAGCACGGGCCGCATACTTGCCGCCTTGAAAGCGCCGAGCGGGGTGCGCGGCAGTGTTCGGGGTGGGATGAAGCGCGTTTCTTTGTGCCTCCGCCTCTGTTTCTGGAGCGACGAATGACTTCGGGTTCTGCTGCTGATGATTTGAGCAAAGCAAGAACCAAAGGCACACACCTGACTGCCAGGCTCCAACACGCCTCGATCCATGGGATCAGCTCCCCTCCTTCGGGGCTGCCCAGCTCAGCCAGGAGCTGCTCCTGGACACCAGGCGGGTCACAGAACCACAGAAACGTAGGGGTTGGAAGGGACCTCCAGAGGTCATCGAGTCCAACCCCCTGCCAAAGCAGTTCCCTACTCCAGGTCGCACAAGTCGGTGTCCAGGCGGGTCTTGAACATCTCTAGAGGAGACTCCATGACCTCCCTGGGCAGCCTGTTCCAGTGCTCCGTCACTTCACCTAAAGAAGGTCTTGTGCCCATTTGTGCAGAACTTCCTATGCTGCAGTTCCTGGCCGTTCCCCCTTGTCCTGTCTCCACACGCTGCAGAAAAGAGTCTGGCTTCTCCACTCTGCCCCCACACTTTTGATATTTATAGACCTGGGTCAGGTCCCCTCTCAGTATTCTTTTCTCAAGGCCAAAACAGACTCAGCCTTTCTCCATAGCGGAGATGCTCCAGGCCCCTGGCCATCTTTGTGGCCCTCCGCTGGACTCTTTCCAAGAGATCTCTGTCTGTTTTGTACTGGGGAGCCCAGAACTGGACGCAGTGCTCCAGATGAGGCCTCACCAGGGCAGAGCAGAGGGGGAGGATCACCTCCTTCGACCTGCTGGACACGCTCTTTTTAATGCACTTTTTAGTTCCTCATCTATTCCTTTAGCAGGCTTATTTTTAATGAGGTATAGAGAAATCTGCTTAAGCACCACCATCAGGATTTGGCAAAGAATAAAGAAACATTCATTATATTACACCACACTGTGCGGAAGTCTGTCTTGTGTGATAATACCAGTTGGGATGTTCTGTGATTCTATGATCTTGGTGGTTTGCCTGTAAAATACCAGGTGATTTTTTTCCCTCATTTTTTCCTGGCATTTGAACTTGTAGTTTCACTTCTAAATGTGAGAGTGGAGTTGGACAAGGGGAGGGTAAGTTGCTTTTTTATTTTCTGTTCTCCCAGGTGGGTCTGTGTATTTAGTGCCCAAGCTGTGGTAGCTCTGTAACTAGGGATGTTCCTAATGGTCATAAAAAGACTCTGCTGCCAGCACAGAATTTGGCCACAGGACTGCCTGCTGGGTTAAGTTCTGTAGATTGATTATCTACTATTTGAGATGGTCTGTTCTGTTTATTTTTTCCAAGACGTCACGTTTTGAGGTCACTGAGATGTACGGATTAATCAATCACTTGCAGCTTGTTTGAGCTTGAAGCAGTTGAATCGTCCCACACAGCACTGTTAAATAAAACCTTATAATGGCTTTGGGATTGTAGCTCTGCGCTGTGCCCCTGGTGTGAATGTCTGTGCTGCAGGTGGCATCCGTCCTGTCCTTCCACTGTGCTCCTCATTGGCAGCAGGTATCACCCTCAGCTTTCTACCTCACACAGCAGTTTCTGTCTGAGCAGAGATTTGGTCACTCTCCAGTTTCTCTGTGGCACCCCCTGTGCTGTTAGTTCTCTTTCTGTGTTGGTGTCCTGTCTAGTCTTCAGCTTGCCCCAGGATGCCAGGCCAGCTGAAAAAGAATTTTCAACTTATATCCATCCTGATATTTTTATGTACTGTCCTTTGTCTTAATGAGGAACACCCTGGAGTCTTCTGAAGAAATCACCATTTCAGACGTGCGTATCATTCACCTGCATAGCCAATTACTCCTCTCAAGGCTCTTGTTCTCTAATGCGTTCAGTTCAGGATCAGTCCCTGTCCTTTGTCCTCCCTGCTTTGCTGTCCTGTATGGATTTACCCGAGGTTTTTCTTCAGCCTGCTTTCCTTTCAGTGCTGACAATCACAAGGAGCTCTTAGTTGTATGCTGCTGTGTTTGTTTTCCTCCGTTCGTTTTCCTTCCTGATGTATAGCAGGTGCTGGTGGTAGCAGAGCCCCTGTTCTCTGTGAGTGACTTGTGCTGAGCCAGTGTTTATTGAGCTCTGATCTGCAGGATTAAACACAGCTACTTGTGTGGAATGGTGGTTTGCACTGCTTTGAATTTAGTCCTGCTGGCCAGAGGTGGACGAGGCAGGGATGTTCAGATACTGAGAAATATGTTGGTGTTTGATACTCGCGGTGCCTTAATGCCCTTAGCTACAAAGAACGGTGAAGGCAGTAGGAAGACAGGAAGGTGACAAGTTGGAATCATATTGTGAGCCCAAATTCAGCAAACCATTACTGCCAAACAGGGGCCTCAGGCGTATGTTTTAAGCTTTTCTGATTCCTATGAGACTTGAACATCTGTTTATAGGCTTGCAGTGCAGGTGCCTAGGAGCCATGTTTTTCCTAGGGAGAGCGGTGTGCTTGCGTACCTTATGTGCTCTTCAGCAAGGGCATGGTAAAAACTAGTCCTGGATGTTGGGTGAGTAGCAGGGAGAGAGGCGAGCCCAGTCAGCAATGGCAGTCCTGAGCCAACGGGTTTCTGTGCTTCTGTCTAGAGCGGAGATGTTTGGAAACTTTCAGATTAGCTTTGATAAGCCTCTGGATGCTTTTCGTGACCAGTTCAGTCCTCTCGAAAGCTTGAGGTTTGTCCATCACTAATTTTCAAATTAATTACACGGAAAAAAATATTTCTTAAAAATAGAAACAATAATGAATATGCTAGTAGTGTCACTGCCATGGAGGAGCACAAAGTAGTAGCCAAGCGATAGGAGAAAAAAGAATGCCCTTTGTTTCTTTTCTCTAGGATCTCAAGAACTATTGATAAACATGAAAATATTTAATATGCGCATAAAAAAGGATAGGAGTACTAACAGTTGGAAAAAATAATGTGAGGTACCCAAGTTTCACCCCAGGTCAAAAAGCTTTGGAACTCTCCAGAGTAGAGAACAGTTTCTCTGGTTTTTCATTTTGCTGAGCACTGAAAGCATCAGAGAGGACTTGCTGGCATCTTGCTGGCACCCCCACCAGCTCCCTCAGCAGCCCAGGACAGAGCCCATCTGGTCCCATGGGCTTGTGACAGTCCAGATGGAGGAGGAGCTCTCTGACTGTCTCCACCTGCATCCCTGGGGTGTGTTCTGGGTAGCATCTCAGACTGCAGATTGGGGCATAAAGTGCCCTGATGATAACTGATCTGCCTTTTACAGGCAGGTGTAAAGAAGGCATTGAGGACCTCAGCCTTCTGCTTATCCTCAGTGGTCACATTCCCCGTTGCATCAAGAGAAGGGTGGAAATTCTCCTTGGTTCTTCTCTTACCACTGATAAGTTTACAAAAGGATTTCTTATTTCTTACTGCGGTGGCCAGTCTGAGGTCAAGTTGGGCTTTTGCCTTCCTTTTGACTTCACAGAATCACAGAATCACAGAACTGTAGGGGTTGGAAGGGACCTCCAGAGATCATCGAGTCTAACCCCCCTGCCAAAGCAGGTTCCCTATATCAGGTCGCACAGGTCGGCATCCAGGCAGGTCTTGAACATCTCCAGAGAAGGAGACTCCACCACCTCCCTGGGCAGCCTGTTCCAGTGCTCCGTCACCCTCACTGTAAAGAAGTTCTTGCGCACATTTGTGCGGAACTTCCTATGCTGCAGTTTCCAGCTGTTTCCCCTTGTCCTGTCTCCACTCACCACTGAAAACAGTCTGGCCTCGCCATTCTGCCCCCCACACCTCAGATACTGATAGACCTGGATCAGGTCCCCTCTCAGTCTCCTTTTCTCCAGGCTGAACAGACCCAGCTCACTCAGCCTTTCCTCATAGCAGAGATGCTCCAGGCCCTTCACCATCTTCGTAGCCCTCCGCTGGACTCTTTCCAAGAGATCCCTGTCTTTTTTGTACTGGGGTGCCCAGAACTGGACACAGTACTCCAGATGAGGTCTTACCAGGGCAGAGTAGAGGGGGAGGATCACCTCCTTCGACCTGCTGGACACGCTCTTTTTAATGCACCCCAGTAAGCCATTGGCCTTTTTGGCCACAAGGGCACACTGCTGGCTCATGGCCAACCTGTCATCCACAAGGACACCCAGGTCCCTTTCCGCAGGGCTCCCCTCCAGCAGGTCATCCCCCAACCTGTACTGGTGCATGGAATTATTCCTCCCCAGATGCAAGACTCTACACTTGCTTTTGTTAAACCTCATCCGGTTTTTTTCTGCCCAGCTCTCCAGCCTGTCCAGGTCTTGCTGAATGGCAGCACAGCCTTCAGGCGTGTCAGCCAATCCTCCCAACTTCGTGTCATCAGCAAACTTGCTGAGGGTGGCCGCCATCCCCTCATCAAGGTCATTGATGAAGATGTTGAACAAGACCGGACCCAGCAGCGACCCCTGAGGAACACCGCTGCTTACAGGCCTCCAACCGGACTGTGCACCACCAACAACAACCCTCTGTGCTCTGCCAGTCAGCCAGTTCTTAACCCACCTCACTGTCCACTCATCTATCCCATACTTCCTCAGCTTTGTTATAAGGATGTCGTGGGGGACAGTATCAAATGCCTTGCTGAAATCAAGGTAGACTACATCAACTGCTCTCCCCCTATCCACCCAGCCAGAGACAACATCATAGAAGGCTACCAGGTTGGTCAAGCACGACTTCCCCCTTGTGAACCCGTGCTGACTACTCCTGATAACCTCCTCTTCTTCCAGTTGTCTGGAGATGACATCCAGCACCAGCTGTTCCATCACCTTTCCAGGGACAGAGGTGAGGCTGACTGGCCTATAATTGCCTGGGTCTTCCTTCTTGCCTTTTTTGAAGACCGGGGTGACGTTGGCTATCTTCCAGTCTTCAGGCACCTCCCCCGTCCTCCAAGACTTCTCAAAGATGACAGAAAGCGGTTCAGCAATCACCTCTGCCAGCTCCCTCAGCACCCGTGGATGAATCCCATCGGGTCCCATGGATTTGTGAACATTGGTGTTGCCTAGGCGCTCCTGAACCACCTCTTCCCTGACAGAAGGGAGGTCTTCCATTCCCCAGATCCTCTCACTAACCTCCAGGGTCTCGGATTCCCGAGGGGGAGCTTTTTCACTGAAAACAGAAGCAAAGAAGGCATTCAGTATCTCCGCCTTCTCAGCATCCCCCATTACCAGAACACCCCCGTCACTTAGCAGGGGAGCCACATTCTCCCTAGTCTTCCTTTTACTGTTAATGTACTTGAAAAAACCTTTTTTATTATCCTTTATCCCCTTTGCAAGATTTAATTCCAGGCAGGCTTTAGCCTTCCTTGTCGCATCCCTGCAGACCCTGACAACATTCCTGTATTCTTCCCAAGTAGTCAGACCCTTTTTCCACATTTCATGGGCCTTCTTCTTTCCTTTGAGTTTGTGCACGAGCTCCTTGCTCATCCACACAGGTCTCCTGCCACCCTTTCCCGATTTCTTCCTCACAGGGACGCACCGATCCTGAGCTTGGAAGAAGAGCTGCTTAAATGCCAACCAGTTCTCACAGGCCCCCTTGCCTTCGAACACTCTAGCCCATGAGACAGCTCCAAGTAGGCCCCGGAAGAGATCGAAGTTGGCTCGCCTAAAGTCCAGGATAGCAATCCTACTTTTTGCTTTACTTCTTCCACTCAGGATCTTGAACTCCACCATCTCGTGGTCACTACAACCCAAGCTGCCCCCGACCTTTACTTCCCTGACAAGCCCTTCTCTATTAGTGAGAATAAGGTCCAGCAGTACCCCTCTCCTTGTCGATTCCTCAACCACCTGCATCAGGAAGTTGTCTTCAACAGATTGCAGGAACCGTCTGGACCACGCATGCCTGGCCACACTGCTTTTCCAGCAAATATCTGGATAATTGAAGTCCCCCATAAGCACCAGCGCCTGGGATCATGACGCTGCTTCCAACTGTTTGTGGAAGGCCTCATCAACCTCCTCCTCCTGATCAGGGGGCCTGTAGCAGACACCCACAACGGTGTCAGCCATACAAGCCCGCCCCTTGATTCTTACCCACAAGCTCTCCACTGCTACACCACTCTCCCCCAGGTGGAGTTCAATACATTCAAGCTGCTCTCTTACATAAAGAGCAACTCCACCACCCCGCCTCACCAGCCGATCTTTCCTAAAAAGCACATAGCCCTCCATGACAACATTCCAGTCATGCGAGCTGTCCCACCACGTCTCTGTGATCGCAATGAGATCATAGCCATGTGACCGCACACAGATCTCCAACTCTTCCTGTTTATTTCCCATACTGCGCGCATTAGTATATAGACACTTCAGGGAGGCAGCATTCCCCTGCCACACTCCATCCCTTCGAACTCCACCCTCATCACCCATCAAGTTCACTTTTGAACTTTGAACTACCTGAGCCTCAGCAGTCCTCATTTTGTCCCCTTCCCCCTTCTTACCTAGTTTAAAGATCTTTCAATGAGGCCTGCCAGCTCCTGGGCTAGGATCCTTTTACCCCTTGTAGACAGTTGAGCTCCATCTGCAGCCGTCATGCCAGGAGCTGAGTAAGTTGCCCCATGGTCAAAAAAACCAAAGTTTTTCTGCCTGCACCATCCTCTAAGCCATTTATTGATGAGGAGGGCTTTTTTGATCCTCTCAGAGTCCTTCCCCACCACTGAAGGGATAGAAGAGAAGACATCTTGCATTCCTGCACCATCCAGTACCCTCCCCAGACCCTTGAAGTCATTTTTGATTGCCCTTAGGCTTCTCTTGACAGTAACATCACTGCCAACCTGAACTACCAATAAGGGGTAGTAGTCAGACGGGCGAATAAGCCCAGGCAGCTTTCTAGTGATGTCCCTGACCCGTGCCCCAGGAAGGCAGCACACTTCCCTCCGGGTGGGGTCAGGAAGACATATCGGGCCCTCAGTTCCTTTTAGAAGGAAGTCTCCTACAACTATCACCCTCCTTTCTTTACCAGAAGAGGCAGTCTTCAAGCGTGGAGCCGACCGCTTCTCTTTAGCAAAGCTCAGAGGCTGTTCCACCACCTTGTTCTCAGCCTCCTCACCCTCCAGTTGCAGAGTTTCAAACCTATTACTTAGGGGCACCTGAGGAACCGAGGTAGGTCGAGGAGGGCGCCGCCTGCGTCGCTGAGGTGGGACCTGCTGCCATTCCTCTTCTCCTCCCAAGTCAGCTCTCTCAGTTTTACTACAGTAAGGCAGAGAATCCACTACAGGCTGGGGGTTGCAATCTCTGCTTGTTTCTCGCAGAGAGTTACACCACCAATCTATTTCCCTCTCGCAGTCCCTAATGGATCTTAACCGCTCCACCTCCTCCCTAAGCTCTACCACAAGGCTGAGCAGCTCATCCAACTGTTCGCACCTCACGCAGGTGGCATCCCTCCCATCGTCCCCCGGCAGCAGCAGACTCAGGCACTCCCTGCAGCCAGAGACTTGAACCGCTGCAGTTTTGGGCAGTCCCTCTGTCTGGGTCGCCACAGACTTGTTGGAGCATGCCCGACGCCTGGTAGAGACCATGTTTGAAGTTACAGTCACTGGGTCAGCGAGTGGGAGAGCGGTCACCTGAACAAGGACAAGAACAATTATGTGTCCTGCACAAGACCAACCTTCCTCACCTATGAGTGCGGCAATGGGCAGCAGGGGCTGTGCTCACACACTGCCAGTACTCCTCGTTAGCAGTTAGTAGTGGGCAGCAACACCCTTTATTCACCAGGTACGCTAAGTACGCTAAGTGGGCGAGCTAGCTCCCCAGGGGCTGCTTATAGCCTCACAGAAAGGGTCAAGGTTAATCACAGAGATAAGAGATAAGAGTGGGCGGTACCGGCTCCACCCCTGCTGTCTCAGCAGCCCGCCCACCAGCTGCCAGCTGCTGCCACCCCCAGCACCAGCACCGTGCTTTTGCTGGTTCAAAAACAGCTCTAAAAAGAGCTTTTTGGACGGCCTTTTTTGGCTTTAGCTCCCTTGCCCAGAGCAGTCTACCTGCCCTGAAGCCGGTTCTCTTGGGGGAAAACCTCAGCAGCTCCCTGTGTGCCGAGGGAAGATTTCATGTCCTGGCCTACACACAGCCCGGCTTTCCCTGCTCTGCACTGCCGGCGTCCCCCACAGCCCCTGTGCTGTGACAAACTCCAGCAGGGCTCGGGCCCAACACCCCCCCTGCTGCACGCCCTCCCACATCCCCACATGCTGCACCCGCACCGGCTGCCCCAGCCCCAGCCCTACTGCAGGCAGCGCAGCCCCGGGCACCGGGCTCAGACCCAGCCCCGAGGAGCTGCTGCAGGTGACTCAGCCCTGCTGGATCCAGACCCAGACCTAGGATTCAACGACCACTTAGAAATAGTGGAAGCTGGCTTTCTCTTTGCAACCGGCTCCTTTCCTCGGGGCTGAGCTCTGGGCCCCAGGCACGTTCTCCTGCTGCCCTCTCCTCCTCCCCGCTCCCAGCGCTGCTCTTCACGCCATCCCACCCACACCTCAACTCCTCGTGTTTCATCGGGAGGCTGATGTGCAGGCCACGGCTGCTGTGTGCAGCTGGGCTTCCCAGGGCAAACGGCAGCCCTCAGCACAGCCCAAGGCTGAAAAAGCCACCAGGAAGAGAGGCAAGCTCAAGGGGCTGAGTGCAGGGACACCTTTCTTCCTCCTGGGCTGCTTTCCCTCCTTCGTGCTTTTGCTAGTGGTCCTTGGAGAGCAAAGGGATGCTCACAGCCTGTGGCCAGCAGTTACAGGTGGGCTGAAAGGCCACCCGTTGGGAAGACGGAAATGGGGGAAAACCAGCAGAATTTCAGGGGAGAGCCGACCGGTTCATGGCCCCGCAATTGCCAGCCCAAGCACGGGACCTTTTGACCAGCTACGGAAAGAGGCAGCACCGTGTTTAAAAAGTTGGTTTTGCTTTTATTCAATACAAAAGGCTCTGGGTTGTATTTATCAACACAGCCCAAAATGAAACCCCAGCGTCCAGGGTTTCTGCTTAGCAATGAGTCATTCAGCCTCCAGGCAGACACAAGGAGAAGCCTGACCCTGTGGCTACGTCAGCTCCTCTCCCTCCAGGCCTGGCTAGCCGTACTTGAATCTCATACTAGACCGGCCCTGGCCCTGAAGAGACGCAGCCTGAAGGAACACAGCCTCTCCATCTCTTGCCATAGATGAAGACCTGCCTCTGGCAAGCCCTCTTTGCTTGGAATGCAGCACAAGCCCTTCCCTTCCAGGTGCCTCAGTTCCGCAGCACTGTCCGTGACAGGGAAAGCACGGCCATGCCAGAAAACTGGACGCTGACTCAGTCCGCTGCCTTTGTGGCCTTCTCGCTCAAGCCCTTCTTGCTTCTTTTTGCTCTCCTTCTGGGCTTCCTTCCTCAGCAGAGCAGCACTTGCCTTGGCTTTCTTCACTGTCTCGCCAGACGGAGTCCCAAGACTGTGCCAGTCCTACAAGAATCAAGGCAGAAACGGTCAGGGAACCTTCACAGCTAACAAGTGGCTGACAGCTCGCGTGGGGAGCTCAAGTCACCGCCCAGGCAGCTTTGGCTGCCAGCACTGGAAACCGCCTTCCTGCCATCAGGGCACGCCAGAAACTCCACCTCTATGTCCTGCCCAAAAGTCCCATACGAACTTGAACTCAAAGCCATCTCCTGCAAGGCAGCGCCTGCACAGGGCTTGGACACTGCCTGGCAGCACACACAGCACAGCAGCAGCAGCAGCAGCAGCAGAGCTTGCACCTCAAGGCTCTTAGCGTGCATCAGGAACACGCGCACACAGAAGGAAGGGCAGGACAAACAATGGCACTCTCAGCAGTGCCGGGCACACCACCGTAGGCCACAGCTGCAGATTGTTCCCTCCCTGCCCATTGCCCGTGCCTTTCTATCAGCCTCAGAGAGCACGACTTACTGCCTTATGGCACCTGGAAACTGGCACGATTACAGCCAGCGCACAGAGCAGCTGCAAAGCGGCTCCACAGAAGAGACCACGGTGCAGCACGTTCCCCACCAGCATGGGCTCAGGGATCTCAGCTGGGAGAAATGCCCTTCAGCACCACACAGCAGGCAGCCCGCTGCTCTCCTGCTCTCAAGGAAGCTGCTTTCTACAAGAGGGGAGGAGTCATTATTCTCTCACGCACATTGCTGTTACAGGCTGACTTAGAGCTGTTCTGAACATCTCCTTGGTCTACTGACCCAATAACAACGAAGGACACGAAACTTGCAGCTGCATCGTCTTTTACCGCCTGCCGAGGAAAAGATTCCTCAAACTTGAGCATTGCTCCACTTGCAGGCAAGGGGAGCTGGAGCTGAAAAGGACAGGTGGACACAAAAGAAGGGCAAAGCTTAACAGAAAGCAGACCTGCTACAGACAGTGCCACCAGCTGTGTTTGAACAGCAATGCCTTAGCGCACGCTCACAGTAAGGCACACCTACCTTGCAAGGGCCGCTGAGGAAGGTTGTGACACAGGCACCCATTGCTCCATTGCTCCCGAGTCCCAACTCCATTTCTCAGCCACTCACATGCCTCGATGTTCTGCAACAGAAAAGTCACAAGATGGAAATTCATCACAGACGTCCTCAAACCTCCCTTCTCAGGGCAGTTGCACTCATTTCTCTGCATGAGAACTCGGGGAGGGCTTACCGAGTGAGCAGCATTTACTGCCAGTTGGCAGCAGCAACCTATGCCTGACTCTAAACTCCTAACAGTAACCTATGCCTAACTCCAAACTCCTAACAGTAACCTATGCCTAATGCTAAAACTGAACTGAACACTAAAACTAAGCTAACACTAAAATCAACAACAAAGCCCAGAACAAAGCCTAACTCCTATGGGGGGAAGATGGAACTGGGGGCCCGCAGAACCGCAGAGGAGCAACAAGGTGGAGGAGGAGCAGATGTTAGCAATGCCACCCAGCTAATGCCGGGGGCGGGGGCTGCGCAGCGGGTAAGGAGCCGAGCGCCCGGACCAGCGATGGCGGAGCTGTGACCGCGCCAACACGGGGCCTGGCACGGTGGTGTGGTGCCAGGCCAGCTGTGCCGCAGGCGGATCCACCTCCATGGGCTCCTCTGGAGGCGGATCCACCTCCATGGGCTCCTCTGGAGGCGGATCCACCTCCATGGGCTCCCCATGGTGGCTCACAGCGCTGGCCCGGGCGCGATGGAACCGGGCTCTCTTCCTCCTCTCCCTCCGCTGCCTGATGGTCATGGTGGACCCCCTCCTCCTCTTTGGTTCTGGGGCCCCCAGCTCCCTCTTCCCATTTATAACTACGCTCTCCTCAGCTCTCGCTCTCTTCGTGCTGGACATGGCTGCCACCTGCCCAGCACTCTCAGAGACGAGTGCGCCGGGTGGGGCGGCAGTGACCAAGGTGACGGCTGTGACATGGGGAAGGTTCCACAATGGCACCTGTGCTGCTGCTGGGAGTGGTGTTCCGCATGGGATGAGGAGGGGGCTGCAGGGCACGGCACGGCGGCTAGAAGGTGCTCCCTGTGCCCAGTGGGCAGCCCTTCTCTGCGGCCAGCAACAGGGCACAGAGGAGCCGAAGCCGAGGAAAGGGCCCGCAGCCTCCTTCGCCCTCTCCCTCCTGCCACGTGGGAATCCCCTTCTGGGGCCGGGCCACGCAGCACACAACACTCAGGGCACGCTCAAGGAATTTCCTGAGGTCAGCGCAAACAACGGCGCGCTCCAGAGTGGAGCTGACGACGCCTGCCTGCTGGGAGACAGAAGCCCTGGCTTCCATTTCAGCATCCAGCGCCTCTTCCTGCGGCGCAAACATTGAGTGTCTGGGCGCTCAAATATTACCTACATGGATACATCCAAGCGAGTTCTCAACAAAACTTTCCGAGTCTCTGAGGTTTTTTCCATTAAATCTGGGGTTTTCACCCAGAAATCCCTGTTTTTCTCCTTAAATCTGGGGTTTTTCCCATTAAATATGGCTTTTTCTGCTAGAAATCCCTGTTTTTCCCATTAAATCTGAGTTTTTTCCCATTTAATATGGCTTTTTCTGCTAGAAATCCCTGTTTTTCCCCTTAAATCTGGGGATTTCCCCAGAAATATGGCTTTTTCTACTAGAAATTCCTGTTTAACCCCTTACATCAGCGGTTTTCTCCCAGAAATCCCTGTTTTTTCCCTTAAATCTGGGGTTTTTTCCCTCAAATATAGCTTTTTCTACTTCAAATCCCTGTTCTTCCCCTTAAAGCTGGGGTTTTTCTCTTTAAAACAAGGGTTTTCTCCAAGAAATCCTTGTTTTTCTTCTAAAATATGTTTTTTTTTTCCTATTAAATATGGCTTTTTCTGCTAGAAATCCTTCTTTTTCCATTAAATATGGGGTTTTTCCTTAAACATGGCATTTTCTGCTAGAAATTCCTGTTTTTCCCCTTAAATCCCTGTTTTTCCCCTTAAATCTGGGGTTTTCTCCCAGAAATCCCTATTTTCACCTTAAATCTGAAGTTTTTCCCCTTAAATTTGGCTTTTTCTGCTAGAAATCTCTGTTTTCCCCTTAAATCTGGCTTTTTTTTTCGATTAAAACTGGGGTTTTCACCAAGAAATCCCTGTTTTTCTTCTTATATCTGGGGTATTTCCCCTCAAATATGGCTTTTTCTGCTTGAAATCCCTGGTTTTCCCCTTAAATATGGGGTTTTCCCCCCATATTTAATGGCTTTTTCTGCTTGAAATCCTGTTTTTCCAATTTAATCTGGGGTATTTCCTCTCAAATATGGTTTTTTTCTGCTAGAAATCCCTGTTTATGCCTTTAAATCTGGGGTTTTCTCTCAGAAATCCCTGTTTTTCCCATTATTCTGGGTTTTTCTGCAATAAATCGCTGTTTTTTCCCTTAAACCTGGGGAATTCCCCCAGAAATCCCTGTTTTTCCCCTTACATCTGGGGTTTTTCCCCTTACATAAGGCTTTTTCTACTTGAAATCCTTGTTTTTCCCCTTAAATCTCGGGTTTTTTCCCCTGAAATATGGCTTTTTCTGCTAGAAATCCCTGTTTTTCCCCTTAAATCTTGTTTTTTTTTTCCCTTTAAATCGGGTGTTTTCTCCCAGTAATCCCTGTTTTTATCCTTAAATATGGATTTTTCTGCTTGAAATCCCTGTTCGTCCCCGTAAATCTGGGGTTTTCTCCAAGAAATCCCTGTTTTTCCCATTAGATCTGGGATTTTTTCCATTAAAACTGGGGTTTTCTCTTAGAAATTCCTGTTTTTCATCTTAAATCTTGGGTTTTCCCCCTTAAATATGGATTTTCCTGCTACAAATCCCTGTTTTTTTCCCTTAAATCTGGAGTTTTTCCCCTTAAATATATACGGTTTTTCTGCTAGAAATCCCTGTTTTTCCCCTTAAATCTGAGGTTTTCTCCCAGAAATCCCTGTTTTTCCCCCGAAATCTGGGGTTTTTCCCCTTAAATATACCGTTTTTCTGCTAGAAATCCGTGATTATCCCATTATATCTATGGTTTCCTGCTAGATAATTCCCGTTTTTGCCCTTAAATGTGGTGTTATTCCCCTTAAATCTGGGTGTTTTTTTTTTACCTGAAATGTCTTTTTTTCCCATTAAATCTGAGATTTTTATCCCCTTCTAGCCCACCTATTTGCCCCCCACAGACATCTGTACAATCGCATTCTCTAATATCCTCCCTTAGCCTTCTATATCCCTCCCCACCGCTCTCCCCAGCCCCTGGAGTCCCTCCACAAACCCCCTCCAATGCTCCCTATAGCACCGTGTCCCTCCAGAACCTCCTCACAGCCCTCTATAGCCCCAAATCCCCCAGACCCACCCCTGGAGCCCCGTATACCCCAATCCCCTGCCACAGCCCACTCCAGCCCCGTGTGCCTCCCTGCACCCCAACAGCCTTCTGCAGCCCCCTGCCCCCCCGCAGCCCTCCCCAGCTCCCCACAGCTTCCTCGCCCCCTCTATTTCCCCATCAGCCCCCTTTATCTCTCCCAGAGCTCCCGGGAGCCCCATACCGATCCCACATCCACCCCACATCCACAGCCCATCCCATATATATCCCACTTCCCCACACCCCATCCTGTCTCCATCCACATCCCCACATCCCAGGCCTGCTCCCAGCCCCTCACCCCACACGAAAGTGGCGGATGGCTGCGCACGCTTCCTTCCCTGTCCCGGTGCCGCTCTCCATCCCTCCCGGCTCCGGCGCCGCTGTCCTCAGCACCGCTCCCGTCGTGCCGCGGTTCCGTCTCGGTGCTGCCCGGACAGCTCCGAAGCGCAGCGGCTGTGGGACCGGCACCGTCTGAGGGGAGAGCCAGCTGCCAATGGCAGTTCCCGCGCGCTGCGCCTCAGCCAGTCGGAGGTGGCGGCGCTGCCGCTGACCAATCAGAGGCACGAACGGGCCGGAACTGCTCCTGACTAATGAGAGTCCGGGGGCGGGACGGAGCTGCCGCTGACCAATGAGAGGCACAAACGGGCAGGAACTGGCCCTGACCAATGAGAGTCCGGGGGCGGGGCTGAACTGTTGTGGGGGAGGGGCTCGGAGTGTTCCCTATTGCTATGGGGGATGGGATGTGGGATCAGGATTTGGGAGGAGGGATTGGGATTGACGGGTGTGAGATGGGCTTGGGGTGAGGGATTGGGAATGAGATTTGGAATTGGGACTGGGACGTTGGATGTGGGGTTGGGAGGTTGGATGTGGGGTTGGGATGTGGGGTGTGGGGATATGGATATGGGATGGATGCGGGATGGGATATTGGGAAGTGGGATTTATATGGGATGGGCTTTGGTATGGGATGGACTTGGAACGGATGTGGCGTCGTAGAACCACAGAGTCACGGAACTGCTCAGGTTGGCAGATCAGCGCTGCCTCTGAACTCGGTGCCGTCTGTGAACGTGCCGAGGGTGCCCTCAGTGCCCTGCTCAAGAAGAGCCATGGCATGGGAGGGATCTTTATGCCTATCTGCACAGCAGGCCCTGCTGCCCCTGCTTCACCCCTCCTTCACCCCTCCACAGGAACTGCCCCTGCTGGAGTCTCTTCTGGCCGTAGTGAGCCAGGGTGATTCCCCTCCATCTGCCCTGCCTGCTGCCCACCCCCACGGCAATTCACGGCACTGGGCAGCGCAGGAGAGCTCTGTGAAATGCCCTCTGCATCCCGCTGCACGAAGGACTGCAGGGAGAGAGGAGGGCTGGGGCTTTTGGTGGCAGCTGAGGGACACAATGGGCCATTCGTGGTGCCCCATCCTCCCCCGGCGGCGGGCGTGGGAAGCTGGGGGGCTGTGACACGGCACAAATGACTGCAGGCAGAGGGACGTAGCAAAGGGAACACAAAGCTTTTAATAACGTATCATAAGAAACAGTGAGTAATAGAAACAACACTATTCCTAAAATTCCCATCCCACAATAAGCAGAACAGCCAGACAACGTCCCATCCCACTGCTGTGCTGACTCTGGAGGACGGCTCGGTTGTGGAGGGGAGAGATGGGGCCGCTGGCGTTGCCCCTGGAACGCTGCCGCTGCTGCCTGGTACTGCGGGCCGGCGAGGAGCGCAGGGTTACGGGTAGCCATACTGGTCGGCGATGGCCATGTCTATCTCCCGCTGCACTAGGAACTGCACCGGGCTGATCTTCATCTGCTGGGCCGCCCGCTGCCGTTCTTCCTGGGCCAGCTTCTTCATGCGCTCCCGCTCGGGCCGCTGCTTGGCTGTGATGGGCAGCGACTCCTCCATCACCAGCGGTATTACAACGCCACCTGCTTGTGGCCCCACGCAAGGCACAAAGTCCACGGGGCGCCATGGCCGAGGCTGCTGCTGGTGCAGCGCTGGTGGTGGTGGTGGTGGCGGTGGGTCCCTCTGCAGCGCTGAGCTCCTCTGCAGGGACGAGCGCGGGCAGCCGGGCGGTGCCTTCTTGGTAGCGCCCTCCTCCTGCACCGTGATGCCTGGAGATGCCGGCGCTGCCTTGTCTGCATGGCTGTCTTGGGGCTGGAGGGCAGCAGGGCCAGCGCTGACTGAGGGTTGGGGCTGCACAGAGGGTGGCTGGCGCACTGGGCCCACCGCAGTCACCCTCTGCCCCAGCGGGTGCACGGCCTGGATGCATTGCTGCAGGTGCTTGCGCAGCTCGCTGGCAGTGCCCGCTTGGCTGCTGCTGGCTCCTGCGCCGGCCCCAGACAGCTTTGCTTGGCACGGCTGTTTGCGGCCTTTCCTCTCTGTTCTTTGCCCGCGGGGCGGCAGCTTCCTTTTCTTGGCAGGAGCGCTGCTGGTGGGCTGCTCCTGCTGGGAGCTCTCCCCTTTCTGCAGGGTGCCGGCAGGTGCAAGGCGCTTGGCCCCCCACTTGGTGCTGCCCCTGTTCTTCTTTTCTGCCTCCCGGCTGGGGACAGAGGCTGGCGACAGGGGCGAGTGAGCCTGAACCTCCTGGGGCTGCCTTTGCTGCACCTCCTCAGTGGGCTGTGCTGTTTGCACTGAGGGAGGTGCGCTGACAGCCAGGGTGGTCGGCCGTGGGCTGAGCCGGGCGCTTGCTGGTGGCACGACAGGGTGCTGCTCCGACAGCCCGCACTGCAGCTCAGGCAGGAACCCAGGGGATGGAGGAAGCCCCCAGAAAGGGTCGGTGGGTGTCCTGGTGGCAGCCTGTGTGCTGAGCTCTCTGCTGTCCTGGAGGTTGACAGGGAGCTCAGCGACGAAACATCCTGGGGCAGGGCTGCTGGGGTTCTCATGGGGGACCTCAGCAGCTCTTGCCACGTCTGAAAATGCAAAAACATCCTCCAAATGGCAATGAGAGCCTTCCCACACCCATTCTGTGCAAACACACACCTGCAACTCTGCAGCCCCAAACTCACTATTGATCCAAGAGAGCAAACCCTGGATGTCTGTGATGTCCTTTAGGACATCTTTAGCACCTTTAGGCCCAGGGCATGTGCCAGCCTCTCTAACTGGGGCTGTGGCTGTGAGCCCATGGGCTGGATGCAGCCTTTTGGGCTCTGGCCCAAAGTCACCAGGCCTGGCACCAAATTTTAAGAAAACAACACGACGGCCACCCAATGGGGTTATCTGAAGTAATAAAACATAGAAATTAAGATGACCAGACCCAGGAGATGTTGCACCCAGGCTGCCCCCAGATTGGAGGCCAGAAGGATTTGGGCTTCCAAGCAATCAGCCAGCATTCGGATGAGTCAGCCCTCTGGTTTTCATGAGGACAGACAATTCCACCGTGGAAAGCCATCTGGACAAAGGCAGAACAGCTTTGTTCTTGGGCCGCAGCACTCCGTGGCTAGGCGCTGCTCAAACGCTGGGCCTGCATTTCCTCCTGGGCATCCACGCATGCTCTGAGTCTGCTGCAGCTTTCTGCAGGGTCTGTGGCTTCCTGCTGAGGAGCTCTTCATGTTCTTCTGCAACTGCTCCCCAGCATCACTGCTGCCTCCTCTGGTGCCATACCAGGATAAGTGTAAGCGTCCATCAGCCTGCACTTCCTTCCTCCCAGCAGCAGCTGCTCCTGCACTGACCTTCATTCACACTGGATGCCGTCCACTTCTAGCACCAGCTGACCTGCAAGACAGAGAAAGGAAATGTGGCATTGGCACAAATGCAGACGCCAGAGGCTGTGCCACCACCACGTACTGCAGCCTTGGGAAGCCAGCTGCCACTGCAACCGTGGTCAGAATTAAAGCAGGCACCGTAAATTAAGTGTGACTTCTGAGCTGAAATAATTGCCACAATCAGAAATAAATACTGAAATTGCTTACTGAACTGTAGGTGGTTACCTCTGAATTCTTTTGCTTTTGCAAAGCAAGCTCCCTGCAGTTGTCAGGTGCACATATGCGTGCTTGTGCCCTGGCCCATAGTGTGAAGCTCTGCAGAAACTGGGGCAGACAGCATCTTCTGAGGGCTGAGCTAGAGGGAAAGAGGAAAAATGTCACACACAACACAGAGAATAGTCACACCAAAGTTTTATGAGGCTCTGTTGCTAAACACAGAGCGACATGGGCTGTGAAACGATGCTGAGGGAGAAAACATGGCGTTTACCTGGTCTGAACAAGGTGGATTCCTTCAAGTTCCTTGTATCCACAACCATTCCTCATCACTTCTGTTCGTCCAGGAGCAAAAACTGCACCAAGGGAGCAGGCAGAGGGTGGGGAGAAGAGAGAGGAAGAGCAGGTCAGTGAGCAGGGCTAAGTCATCCGTCTTGCAGAGACAAATAACACCAGAGGGGAAGCTGGTTACAATACGGCACACGCAGAAGTCTTACACAAAAACGCAATAGCATTATAATGCTCTGTGTGTGCAGAAGAGCGTTCAGCAGCAGTGAAGCAAAAGCTCTCTGCTGTTGTTTCCACAGTGGCTTTAGAAGCTCCTGCTCTCCCTCCAAGAACAACCTTTGCATCAAGCGCTGGCACAGAATCACAGAATGGCCAGGGTTGGAAGGGACCTCAAGGATCACGAAGCTCCAACCCCCTGCCACATTCAGGGCCTCCAACCTCCATTTCATAGTAGATCAGGCTGCCCAGGGCCTCATTCAGTCTGGCCTTGAACACCTCCAGGGACGGAGCATCCACAGCCTCTCTGGGCAGCTGTTCCAGCACCCCTCCGCTCTCTCTGTTACCTGCCTAATTGGCCTAGCACGGCTGCCACCACTTTCAAGAAGTGGTAATTAATGCTGGCAGTTTAAGTCCTTAGCCATGGGCTGGATAAAGGTGATTTTGGGTGGTGACGACCAGAAATGACTGGGATGGGATATCCTTAGTGGAAGGGGAAACCGGTGCTGGGGGGAGAACTCACTGCAGGGATGGCAAATCCCCACGGGGACGGGCAGAGCCTTGGGAAGGAAGAGCAGTGGGCTGCAAAATGCCCAGCGGGATGGTCACTGATCATTGGGATGGGAAACAATGGGGATGGGAAGGATGTCTGGGTACGAAAACCAAAAGCATGGCAAGCCAGGGGGAAAGGGGCTGAACCCAATGGTCACAGAACCCCCGTGGGGGGAGGGGCTCCCCCAACTGCCACTCTCCAGCTGTCATGGCAGGTAAGGCAGCAGCTCCCCCATGCTCTGATGCTCCACCTGACCCCAGCACTCCAGATCTCATCCCTGTGACCCAGATCTCATCTCTGTGACCCCAGATCTCACCCCAGAGCTGCAGATCCCACCCCTATGATCTGGATCTCACCCCAGCACCCCAGGTCTCAGCCCAGTGCTCCTTCTGGCATTTCCCCACAGAGAGATTCCCTTGAGGAGCGCTGACGGTGCTTCTGACACCCGACGCCATTTTCATTCTTGCGACTGTGCCGCCACCGGACCCCGCCTGGATGCAGCCCACCGTCCGCGGACCGATGCCGGTACCCCCCAACCCTTCCCTGTCCCCACTGCCACCCACATGGCACCTCAGGCCTCTGTCTGGCCCAGGGTCCCAGGTGCCTGGGGACAGGCAGTGCAGCTCCCACCTGGGGGGCCGCCCCCAACCCTGGCTCAGCTGCCACCTGTGGGCCTGACCCCAGCCGCGGGGCTGCACCTACCAGTGCTGCTGCTCCTACCTGGGAGGCTGCACCCAGGGACGGCTCACCCCCCCACCCCTGCTCCCTGCCCGGGACGTCCCCTGCCCACAGGGACGCTGCTGCCCCAGCAGCTGATGGGGCTGTGGCCCGGGGCCATGCCCCTCCACGTGGAGCCCCCGCAGCCTGCAGGCACCTGCCTGCCGCAGGCCGCCGGCATCCCCGGCCCCCCCCCAATTCTTTTGCAGGTACCCTCCCTGCAGGAGCAGGTGTTCCCCAGGCCCTGCACCCTGCCTGCCACCTGGCAGCCGCCGATGGAGCCCTTCCAAAATGCTGTGCTGCTCTCGGAAGACCAGGGGCACCCAGCGCCCACCGACGTGTGCCCCCAGCCCGCCACGGCTCCGCTCACCTGCAGCGCAGCCACACTGCAATCAGGCGGTGAGTTCAGGGGCTGCAGGGCAGGAGGCAGGCTGTCTACTGCACGGGGCTGCAGGAAAGCTGGCATTGCCCTGCTGGGCATTTTCTTCTTTTTTCCAGATGCAACGACTGGCGCAGATACCGCGGATGGCTTCGCAGATGTCGATGATCTGCTCAGCTGGATCAACGAGGGTGAGTGTGGGCGGCGAAGAACTGGCAAGCGGGTGTCTGCACTGAGTGGGTGAGCAACAGCTGGCATTGTCCTGCTGGGCATTTTCTTCTTTTCCCAGGAGCGACAGCGAGCACTAACATTCTGGACGACAACGTGGAAATGGGCCATGTGCTCACATTGATCAGCGAGGGTGAGTGTGGGGGCTGTGAAGCTGGTGGGTAGGTGTCTGCAGAGAGAGGCTGTGGGAAGGCTGCCATCGTCATTCTTGGGATGTTCTTGCTTTTTCAGAAGAGCTGAGCACTCTAGAGGTCCCGCAGGAGAACCAGGACCTGCCTGTTGTCCCAAGGGAGGAGAGCAGAGACGCTGCCATGGTGCAAGAGGAAAATCTTGGGAAGCAGCTGCTGCGGGAACTGGACAGCCATGACCATGAAGAGCTGAGGAGGTGGATCGCAGCCACGGAGCCACCGAGCCTGGATGTCCACAGCAGTCTGGACTCATCTCCTTTCATCGCAGAGCTCCCTGACTTCCCCAGAAGCAGCAGGGAGCTCAGCAAAGAGACACAGGTTGCCACTGGGACCCTCAGCGACCCATTCTGGGGGCAGCCAGCATCCCCGGGGCAGCTCTCTGAGCTGCTGCCCTGCGACCCTTTGCTGCTGGCCCCCGTCACACCTCCACACCTGTCCCTGCTGAGCTCCCTGGCTGCCCCCACGCCTCCTTCGCCCCGCATGGCACATCTCATGGAAGATGCGCGGCGCAGGCAGCCCCGCGTGGTCCTCAGCCGCCTGGCACTTCCACCCTGCTGCGTCTCCTGCCACGTGGCAGACCAGCAGCACGGGGACGGCACTGAGCCGGCCAAGCATCGCCTCCTTTGGTGCACACTGGACAACTCATGGAAGAGGCACGGCAGAAACAGCCCTGCTGGTTCTCAGCCGCCTGGCACTTCCACCCAGCTGCGTCTCCTGCCGCATGGCAAGCACGCAGCATGGGGACGACACCGAGCCGGCCAAGCACCCAACGCCCGCCTGCGTTGGCACAAAAGGCAAGAGTAGCAGGCGCAAGCAGCACCCTGGCAGCATCCCAGCCAGGAAGAGGAAGCTGCTGCCGTGCCAGGGTGTTCCAGCCCACCAACAGCCATGCTAGGCGAAGCTGGCTGTGTCAGCGCAGTGGCCAGCACGAGGACTGGGTGCCCATCACACCCAAGTGGGAGCGGACCAAGAAAGCGACCCACTTGGTGCAGCAGGAGACATGGCCGCAGCCCATGAACATGGCTCCCTGCAACCCTGGACTCCTCGCTGGCCCCCACGGCACCCAGAGAGCAGCGGCACTGTTCCAGGGGCACCAGCACCGGCCCCAGCCCTACCCCTCCAAAACGGGGCTGTCCACAAATGGTGTCTCGGACTGGGGCAGCGTGGGACTGTGAAGCAGGAGGACCACACCAGTGTTGGATTGTCCAGACTTTGGGCTGGGAAACGTTGTTCAGGGGGTGGGAAAGGGGTGGGGGTGGGAATGAGGGGGGTGGGAAACGGGTGGGAGGGGCAATGGTTGGGGGTGGGAATTAGTGGGGTGGGCAATGGTTGGGGGTGGGAATTTGGGGAGAGAATTATTGGGGTGGTGGGATGTTTTTGGGGTGGGAAATGAAATGTACTCTGCTATTGTTGGGTGAGAATTTTGGGAGTGGGAAATGATTGGGCTGAGAAATGGCAAACGTGGGAGATGGTTGACATCAAAAAATATTTGACTGTGTAACTCGCCCTAAGACAGTGAGGATGTTGGGAGGGTGAGGGAAGTTTGTGGGGTGGCAATTCTGGTTGAGAAATGGTACTGTGCTAATGTGAGACTGCGAGATTGTTGGAATTGGGAGGAAGGAATGATGGGGGTGGGAATTTGGGGGGCTGGGAAGTTTTTTCAAGGGGGAGGAAAAGGTTGGAGGGAGGGAGAGGGGGGGGTGAGAAATTGCTGAGTGGGTGGGAATTGTAGGGGGTGGGATCAGAAACAATTGTTAGGATGGAAGATGGTGAGGAATATTGTCCTTCATTTACTGCTTTGTATGTTAAACGATTAAATGTTTTGCGCTCGCTTTGCTACACCTCTGCCTGCAGTCGTTCATGCAGCAGGTTTCCCCGTAGTGCCATCACCACCACACCTCTCCCCCCTGCTTGCAGTTCCCAGGCTGCAGAGAACATCCCGATGGTGCCCACCCAGAGGTGCCCGTCCCATGCAGCGTGTCCAGCAGCTGGGAGATGTTGGGGTGGTTGCAGCGAGCCAAGAGCTGCTGCTCCTCCAGCTTCTCCTCCTCGCTGACGGTCTTCATCACCACTGCTGCTGTCAATGTCCCCGGGACCTTGTTTTGTGCCTGGGGAAGGAGATGGGGATGTTCTGAGCATCAGGTGAACCACAGAACCATAGAATGGCTTGCATAGGAAGGGACCTCAAAGATCATCCAGCTCCAACCCCCCCGCCGCAGGGGCAGGGCTGCCAACCTCCCCATTTCATAGCAGACCAGGCTGCCCAGGGCCCCATCCCACCTGCTCTTGGACACCTCCAGGGATGGAGGGGCATCACCTCACCATTCTCAGAATTTAGAGCTTCTCCCTGGCATCCAACCTCAGTCTTCCATCCCTCAACTTCAAGCCATTTCCCCCTGTCCTGCTTTCCAAGACTTGACTCCCCTCCTGTTTGCAGGCTCCCTTTAGGTCCTGAAAGGCTGCACTGAGCTCACTCCGCAGCCTTCTTTTCTGCAGGCTGAACAAGCCCAGCTCCCTCAGCCTGTCTTCGTAGGGGAGCTGCTCCAGGCCCTTCATCATCTTTGTGCCTCTCCTCCAGACCCTCTCCAACAGCTCTTTCTTGTCCTGGGGGCTCTGGACCCAGAGGCAGTGTTGCAGATGAGGCCTCACAAGAGCAGAGCAGAGGGGGACAATCACCTCCCTGTCCCTGCTGGCCACCCCTCTGCTGATGGAGCCCAGCAACTAGCAGAAAGGAAAAAAAACAAAAACAAAACCAAACCACTCTGCTTGTCACAACTGTCAAATGCTCAATGAGCAGTGCACAGAAATAAGAGAGATGACTGCTTGGCCTCTGACCTTAAACCCAAAACCTTAACACAAAAGAGTTACCCTCAGCACTAAGGTATTGACACTGCACGCTTTGGGATGGTGACAACCCTTAGGAACACAGAGCCACCAACATCAGAAACGACCTCTGAGGTCATCTAGTCCAACCACCCACCTCACACCTCCATCTCCCACTAAACCCTGTCCCTCAGCACAACAGTGAAACACTCCTCAGGCACCTGCTAGGATGATTTCCCCACTCCCACCCCCACTCAAAAGGGGAACTCTTGACCTTTAAATCTAACCCAAAAGGGTACCTTGTAACCATAGCCCAGAAAAGGAACTGCAAACAAAGTCAGGAGCACATGCAGCTGCTCTCAAACAGTCCTAAACCATCTTCTGGCACAGTGCTCCTTACCAACCCTTCTGCTCAGTGGTCCCACTTGTGCCTTGTTTGCACTCAGTGCTGGGCCTGTAGGAGACTGTGCTGGTAGCATCACCTGGGCCAGCACAAAAACTGAATGATTGCTTGGAATGCAGAGTATTTACCAACTACTGGAGCTTCTCCTAGCAACAGAGAGAAAGTAGCAAGTATCATCCTAGAAAGCCAAGAAGCCATAAAGACACAACAGGAAAGTGAGGCAGTTACAACGTCCAACAGGATTACTTTATGAGCTCTTCTTCACTTCCTTCCTAATCACCACACTCCTGAGAAAAACTAGCAGAAAACAGCATAATACACACACAAAAAATAAATCACCTTGGATTGATGAACATTAGGTTTATTCTTTACACAAGGAAGACTAAGCATTATCAAGTTACAATGTGTCACTTAATTGCCAGCTAAACTCCACAGAACAGTTCTAAGACTGGTAACGCTCAAATGTCTGCTGCAACCAGCTAACAATCACACCTCTGCTGTTAACGAAAGCTGAGCAACAAACAGAAAACATAGCAGAAAAGGCACTTGATTTGCAAGTGTTCACAGTGCTAGTCACTAGATTATACCTAGCCTTTCAACAACTCAATCACGTTCTCCTTTGATGAAAAAAGCCTTCCCAAGGAAGTAGAAGGTTGCCCATGCAAAAACACAGGCTACATCACCTTGAGACATTACGTTGTCTACTGCCATCCCACCAACACCCATTTCTGACATCACGGGCCACCATCAGAAAGTAGAAGGCACTACTTTCAGAGCAGCCCTCGTAACAGCTATCCTTGCGTGCGCTGTGTGTGGTCAGGTTGGGAAGCGGAAGGGCAGTGCCAGTTGCAGACACGCTGCTGACAGCTCAGCAGGGGCCTGCTGGCCCTGTGCCACCATGGCACCCAGCACAGAGGACAGGCAGGCAGAGGGACCAGGCGCTTCCTGCAGCTCCAGCTGCACCCTGCACGCCCCGTGCTCCCGTCATCCTGTGGACCAGGCTTGCTTCACACAGTGCCTGCTTCGCCTTCAGCACCTTTGCCAAAACCTACAGGGCAGGGATGGGGGAAATGAAGGCTCCCTGAAGGCACCCCCACTCTGGGGCATAGGAAGAGTAGCCATCAGACTGAAGGAACAGGGCAGGACAATGCAAAACCATTCCAAACATTTATTTTTTAAACTACTCTACTCTACCTACGTGGTACTGCTTGCACCCGCAGTGCCTCCTGGAGCGTAAGCAGCAGGGACATCCAACTCCATCACCTCCAGCTCTGCCATCTGCTCCCAGCCCTGGTGGGAAAGGACCGCTTGGTGCTGGAGATGTGGTGCGATTCGCAGAAGCAGCAGGAGCAGCACCCTGGGTGGTGAAGGGAGCTCACTGCCCGCCAATGCTGCAGCGCCTGACTGCACCTCCAGCAGACTTCTGCTCAGATGGCCCTCCGTCAAATCCAGGGCCAGAGAGGATGCAGCTGGTCTTCTCCTTCTAACACCAACACTCCACTACAATCTTCTTTGGCAGAGGAGATAACCCCTCTTGAAATAGGGGTTACAGTAGCAGAGTAACTACAAAACACAAAGGAGAAGAGGTTGTTACCACAATTTCAAGACTGGAAAAACAAAAATACGATGACTAATAATTAGAATCTCAAGGGACCAAGAGAGAGGACTCTCAGGAACAATTTCAAAAGGAATACATGGGTATAAAATGTTTTGGTATGGTTCTGTTAAATACATAGGTCACTCCAAAAGTAATGCCTCTCCATCTGTCCGAATCCAAGCAGCCTCCCCCTGCTACCCACCGGAACCTCCTCTGGAACTATGGGAGATTTCTCCATAGCACTGCCTTCAGGCATTTCCTTGTGAACCTGCAAGTGCTGGCAGTGTCCTCGCTTAATGACTGATTTTCTGGTCCCTTCCACAGCATCACGCCATCCCTTTGCTCAGCAGCCCTCCCCATTTTTAGTTTAAAGCCTCCCTCACAAAGCTGCCATCCTACTGATGAAAACACCCTCCCATCCCTTTAGGGAGGTGGGTCCCATCTCTTCCAAACAGACACCAATCCACAAACAGGTTCCCCAGCCACAGTATCTAAGGCCCTGCTACCAGCACCAGTCCCACACTCAATGACTTGCTTGCATCACCAGTGCCCTCCTCTTCACGCCTGTCCCACAGCAGCACCCGGACCCCTGTGCCCCTGACTACCAGCCCAAGAGCTCTGCAGTCACTTGGATGCCGTTCACATGTCCCCCAGCAGCATCATCTGTGGCCACCTCTCCTGGTGGCCTCACACAGTGATCCACACAAGGCATAAGGCTGGGTGCACCTCCGCCTCCTCTCCAGCACTGAGGGCACTGGAGCTGCATTGGAGCTGTGAGCCCTTCTGTGGGGCAGGAGCATCCTCTGCTGCCAGGAGTCTCCAGCTTCAGTCTGACACTAGATGTGAGGCTGTGCCATGGGGCTGCAGTGTGGGGCCTGCAGCTCAGAAAAGCCCCTGAGCACGGTGGAGGTGGTCTGTGATGCCATCAGAGCATTATACACCAACAATTACAAACACCTGCAAAAGCAAACAAGAACCACGTTCTGCAGTGATAAGAACCCACAGCTTAGCAGACAGGAGCATAAGGCTTAGGAAAAAGTTGCATTTCAGAGGTTGGTAGGGAATTTCACATCACACAGAGGCACCAAAACCAGAGCTTCTAACCACAGTGTTACCCAGGAGTCCCACCAGGCAGTGCTGGCATGATCTGGTATGTGATTCCAGAACAAAGCAGCCCAGTATAAGGCATCAGGCAGTGCTGAGGAGATCTGCATTAAGGACAGGTCATGCCTTCATGTTCCAGTGACAGCACACTGTCCAGAGGAAGGGCTTGACGTACAACCCTCAATGATTTACACTCCCACCAGTCACATCAGACGGACCAAGACTACGATGCTGACCTGTAACCAGGCACAGTGCAGCTAGAGCTCCTTGTGCAGGCACCAGAGGCAGCTTCCCCACCTCCAGATCTATAGGCAATATGCTCGAGTACTGTGTCCAGTTTTGGGCCCCTCACTGCAAGAAAGGCCCTGGAACGTGTTCAAAGGAGGGGTCTGGAACACAGGGCTGATGAGGAGGCTGAAGGAGCTAGGAATGTTCAGCCTGGAGAAGAGGAGCTCAGGGGAGACCTCACTGCTCTCTATAACTGCCTGAAGGGAGGTTGTAGTGAGCTGGGGGTCGGCCTCTGCTCTTGTGTCATCAGCGACAGGAGCAGAAGGAATGGTTTCAAGCTATTGCAGGGGAGATTCAGGCTGGACATCAGGAAGTATTACTTTTCAGAAAGGGTGGTCAGGCACTGGAATGGATGCCCAGGGAGATGGTGGAACCACCGACCCTGGGGCTGTTAAAGGAAAGACTGGATGTTGTGTTGAGGGACGTGGTTTAGTGGGAGCTGTTGGTAATAGGTGAACGGTTGGACTGGATGATCTTTTAGGTCTTTTCCAACCTTGGTGATTCTATGATTCTATGGTTTACATTAATTATCCTAAGTCACTATTCAAAGCAATGAATAAGCTGTTTAGAGAGAATAAATAAAAAGAGAGAAATCCCCACAATCTTCTACTTTTCACAAGCCAGGAAATGCAGCAGGCATCCCTGCATCCTCACCACAACAAAGTGTCAGCAGTCCCAGCAGTGCCTGTCTCCAGTCCTGCCCCTTTCGAGTCCTTCTCCTGCCTCTGATGTAGCCCTGACCAGGCCCGGTTCTGCCCCCATTCTGTTTAGCCCATTCCTGTTCTCGTCTCATCCCTGATCCTCCACCTCACCTTGCCTGTGTTCCTGTCCCTATCCCAACCCTACCACTACCTCCACACCTACCCCCACCCTTTTCTTTATCCTCCTATCACTGCCTGTCCCTCTCTTTTCCCTCTCCTGCCCATCTCTCCTGCCCCTGTCCCTATCACTCATCCTGCCCCTACCCCTACACTTTTCCCTATTGCCCACCCCTCTCCCTCTCCTGTTTCCTTCCCTTCCCTATCCTTGTGCTGTCCTTGCTCCAGGCCACTGACAGAATCCCGTGGCAGCCCACCACAAAGTTGAAGGGAAATTGTATGCCAGAGTAATGAATGAGAGGGGAGGACAGAGAGGGCAGACGAGAAGAAAGGACACAGGTAAGAGGAGCAGAGCTAATGGGGCAGGGGAAAGCAGATGGCAGGGGAGAATGGACAAGAGGGAAGAGCAGAAAGGCAGTGAAAATAGGATTCCTTGAAAATAAGTGTTTACAGCTTTATTGCAAGACAGGATGCCTCACAATAAGATGGATGGTTTTCCAATTCCTGAATTACAGAGGATACACCAACTGAGAGGGGTTAAAAAACATAGCAAGAAAGTGCCACATTCTAAAGCAAACGGCCCAGGAACAATTCCAGCTACTGCACTCCCTTGAGAGCCTCAATGGGACTCTCATCTGCTCACAGGGCCCAACACGAGAGGATCAGCTGCTCTGGGGGAGAAGGACTGGGAACCATGTTCCAGTTTGTATCCTTGGAAGGAGGTTAGGGCAGCAGCTCCACGTAAAGACAAGAATGAAATGATGGCCAAGCTCCAATGCAACGGGTGCAGGACCAACAACCCCTCGTGGAGCTCCAAATATTTTGGAAAAACAGGTCCTCGCAAACTGTAAGAGCCTTAAATGACCCCGGAACAGAGGCCTCCTTAACATATGGGAACCCCAAGAAACGTGAAGGACACCTGGTAATTATTACAGGGTTGGGAGGGAAACAAACTGAAGCTGTACAAACACAAATAGAAATGAGAATAGGAAACCTCCCATAATGACTGCATCCTGTGATGACTGTCCCCGCCCCAGAATACATCTCACGGATGGGCATTCTAAAATGACTAACACTGAATCTCCCCAGTGCTCAGCCCCAGTTTGGAATAAGGAATTGCATTCGTGCTCTGACAATTTCAGTGGGAAAAGTAACAATGTCTGCTGTGCAGATTCCTGCTGCAACTGAAGTAGTGACAGTGAAACAGTACAGGACCTGGGGGGGAAGGGAGGAGGGAGCATGAAGAGATATCAAGGACAATTAATGATTTATTGGGTGCAGGAGTTTTAAGTCAGCTACTACAGCTCGGAACAATCCAATATGGCCTGTCAAAAAGCGGTGGGTTGTGGGAGTGTCATGGTTCTATGTTTTTTGTTTTTGTTTTTTGTTTTTGGGTTTCAGTATTCCACATCAAAACATCATGTAGTGCACGGGGCATTAAAGTGTCACTGCCCCAATTCCAAGTACCTATCCCTGTACATTACAGAAGTCACGGGATCTGGCCCTTCCGGGTGGGGGGGGCGCTCTCTTGCTGCCTTGCAGTGGGTGCTGGAGGGTGCTTTCCTAGCCGTTCCAAGCTGTTCAGGTTTGAATCGGTCTCGGGAACTCTCTCTCTCATCTTGTCTGATTTATTAATCTCAATTTCAATTAAATTGTACATATTGTGTTATCTTGTCTTCCAATATTATAGTAAAATAAGTTTTCCTCCATAGATTGTTGCCGCTGCTCTTTTCCTCCCTTCCTTCCTTCCCATTTTTTGTGGGACTGGGGTGGGGGGGGGATGGCAGAGGCCTGCCACCCCTGTCACGGACATAGATTGATCTGATCAACTCCATGATAGGGAGAAATTAAACAAGCTCACCCTGCCTCTCACAGTGGCTGCAGCAGGTAGTGTTGCTTTAACAGAAAAAGCTCGGAACCATTCCAGAGCAGAGCATGCTGCAATTGATTTAGCTGATGCTAGCTTCTTCACGATCCTGATTGCAGAGGAACGCCTTGCCGTGGCAGAGGTGACAAGATCCTGTCTGCAGATTGCCTCAGGGACGGCTGCACAGCCCAACCATCTGCCACAGAACTGTGGCTGAACATCTGCATGACACCAAACTGCCTCCTCACATGCAAACAGTTCATTACGTAGATGACATGCTGACTCAGGGAAACCGAGGAAGGGGTGCAACAAATGCTGGAATTGGTTGTGGATCAGATGAAACAGAAAGGCTGGGAAATTCATCCTACTGAAATTCCAACAGTGACATTTTTAGGAATTCAGAGGCATTTTGGGCATTGGGGAATACTACCCAAAACTCAACACAACATTTTAGACTTTGCAGTACCCTGTAATAAGAATGAGGAACAGCAGTGTATTGGGCTGTTTGGCTTTTGGAGACAGCACGTTCCATACCTAGGACAAATTTTAACCCTGTTTATATACAAAGTGACAAGGAAGAGTTGGAGGGGGAAACAAACAGCAGGTTGCCTTTGAATTAGCAACAAAGGCTCTTCAAAGGGCCTCAGACTTAGGGCCCATGCAAAAAGCAGAAACAGAGTTAAATGTGTCTGCAAATGGGGCACGTGCCAATTGGAGCTTCTGGCAAAAACATGGAAAGAAAAAGGTTCCCTTGGGTTTTGGCGGAAGAAAACTCATGTCACGAGAGGAGTAATGGATGCAGATTATCAAGGATGAATCAAATTCCGTTCAACAGCAGTGACCAAGATTTAATTAAATCCAAGATTTAATTCAAACCCATGACAGAACAACTACTGATATTGCCAGTTTTAAAAACAATTGTGAGAAAAGGAGATCCACCTCAGATCACCACCGCTCTGGAGAACTATGTATGTAGTATATAACTTTATTTTGCAGATCCTGCACGACTGGATTTACCCGCCTACCAGCACGGTCCATTTGGAAAAAGACACTATCCGTGTGCCTGGATGTGAAGAACGGCCTCACCTGAAATTATCCCCAGTGCCTGCTGTCAGAGCCTGTGACCTGAGAGCAGTGATGGCACTGCTAACGGCACGTTGCCACTGTGACCAAGGCACAGGTTGGATGAACAGATTGATAACTTTAGGACAAGGTTGAACAACTTTGCTCTTTCTTGCTAACTGCTATGTGTGTGGAGGCCCAGGAGGATGGGAACACTGGACGTGGATGGCCTGTGTAACCCAAATGGTGGGATAGCAAAACAAGTGCAGCCCATGAGGGAACGGAGCTCTGGGCCAGGACAGCAATCCCTGCCAGATGCAGCAATACAGAGAAATGATCAGAGAAATGGGGAAAAATACACAGAAATTGAAACACGTCCAGATTACTTCACGTGTCCCACACCTGTGGTGACTCAAAGACCACACCTGCCACGTCTTCCACAGCGAGGCTGTGTCCATACCAGAATTAAGTTTTGATACGAGATTTCTGACTTACGAATATTAAAGCCATCTTCATCGTTTGAAGGAAAGGGCTGAGCTGCTGGAGGCTCTGCTCAGCTACATTTCTGCCTGTCTCGAGTGCAGTTCAAGCGTAGATTTCATACACAGCAAGGTGTGAAGAAAAGCTCTCCCTCCAGTCCTAGAGTTAAAGAAAGTTCAAGCAGTAAATATCAAGCTACAACAAAGTCCAAGCTTCTGAGTTCAAGGACATCCTCTGAAGCCTGATTTAAGGCAATAAAATTCACCTTCTTGCCTCAGGTTAATATCTCCAAGCTATTTTCAAAGATCTTTTCCTCCTGATATGTTTGCATACAGCCAGTAGAACAAACAGAGCTAATAAAGAGACCCAAACACACACAGTGAAGGCGTGAAAGTCCAGCAGTTCCAGCAGTGGGGGAAACACAAACCTGAGATCAGAGACTGCAGGAAATGCTCCTTTGTGGGTGGGATTTAAGTCACACCAAGCACAACGCTCTGGTTTTGAGAAGGGCTGCTTTAACAGCACGCTGTCTGCACACTTGAATCAGGTTTGTGAAGAGCCTCCCAAATCCTCACAGTCTTACTGCTCTGGGAAGCACGAAGTTCTCTTCTCAAAAACATTTCTTACCAGTGCATCCAGCGAGCACACACATACGATGTTGTGACAGAGAACATGGGCAGAGACCAGCAGGTTGGAAGGTTGTCACCTTCGGGCCGGATCAATACTACAGATATCCGGCAAGCCCTTCTGTAGCAGAAACACGATTGCTAAAGCTGAGTAACGTCCAGTGGGTGAGTATGAGTAAGGTGAGGCTCAGCACAGTGCTGAGGGATCCGATACTGACATGTCACTGCAATTCAGTGCACAGGTTGGAAAGGCAGTAAGGTGGGCCCAAAGATGGAAAAGGACACCCGTGTGCTGCACTGTCACGCTGGAACCACGTCAATGACTACTCTCAAAGCGTGTATCTGCTAAAAGGCTGCAGTGTTTGAGACCTCCAAAACAATCTGCATCACCAGACTAATCAGCACTTTATGAATGCACACCAAAGACCCCAAAGTTCCTCTCAGAAGAGACGAGTAAAACATCCTTACAATACTTCCACGTACAGGATTCTACTTCTGACTTTGTAATTCCGTATTATAAAACAAAAGAAGGCTTCTTTCTTGCAATACCAATTCTTAACAGCAGTTTTACAATCGAGTATGAGAACTAATCCACTCACCTCTACAGGATGGAGTTGCTCAAGAATACCAGAGTTGGCAGATTCGGAATGCCACACCTGAGGCACTGACACCACTAACCCAACACAGCCACGTAATCTAAACTGACCTTGAAAGCTATCAGTGTCTAACTACTGTTATCCTGTAGTTGTGGATCTCATTAGCAGCCACCAATTTACTCAGCCAGCCTTTATAAACCTTACTTTTTCATAACTACACAAGGGCTGATCCAAAAGTAATGCCTCCTGTCTTATAAAGCTGGCCCACAACATCACAGATGGACGCTGGTGGGATGACAGCAGAGGCTGAACCTTCCTGCCAGCACTCAGTTACATTTTGCAGCCATGCCACAGACGGCAGCAGAGGGCCAGAATGACAGCACAGCACCTGGCTCGGAAGTGCTCATGGAGCACAGGGTGTCCCTGAACTCCTCCACACTGAAAAAATCGCACCACTGACATCCATCAATACCTGCAGAACATTTACGAAGCCCGACACGTGGAGGTGAGCACAGTGAAGCAGTGGTGGTGCATTTCAGACAAGCCACCCAAACAGCCAGAGTTGATTTTTTTTTTCTTTTTAAACAAGCACAGCATGCAGGCTTTCATTCAGTGCTGGAAAAAAAGCATCACTAATGGTGGTGACCATGTTGAGAAACAGCTTTGTAGCTGAGAACTCGCCCTATGTATCGGTGGTCATTTCCATGGAAATAAATAGGAGGCATTCCTTTCAGAGCAATCTACGTACCTCAATGAGCCACCATCCTAATAATGCAGTAATACTAATAATAGGAACAGAAAAAAACAGACTCTCAGAATATCTGTTGTGGGGATGGAACAATAAAACCAACGCTGCAGTCAGCTGCAGTTATTCCCTGGGAAGAAACTGATGCCAGCAGAAAGGTCACGACCACTTCTGACAGTTAAACCATAGCAGCATGTCAGAGCACACAGCCTTGGAATAAACCCCAAGGATAAACCAAACTGCATCTCTGTTCCAGCAATTTCTTTCTTCAGTATACACAAATAGACTGGGAGGCACTAACCCTACAAATTCATTGTACCACTGTGTCATATGGTAAGAAGAAAAGCAGGATGTTTGACACTTTGTCAGGCACAGAACCTGCAGCACTGGAGGCGAGCAGTTCTGAATTCTGGCATCTGGTCGTAATTTGCGTGCATGCACAAGAAGCAGTGCAACTCACTTCACCAAATGTAAGTCAATGCAACCTAATGTATTGAAGGTGTACTTACAAGGCTGAGGTAGTAAGCTGCCCGCTGAGGGGAAGGTTGGAAATGAAGCAGGGGAGGCCTGACAGATTGAGTGATTGTCTGGAAAAAGAAAGGAACAGAAGAACTGTTCAGATGACATGACAGCCATTTTCTTGAATGCTGTTACATAGGCAGTAACAAGCAGAAAATCAAGGCATTTGCCTTCACCATCACCATATGTGCCACCTCTCTGCAGAGCTGCGGCACAGGCAGCACAAGACTGCTGGCACAGTAATTGCCAAGCCACGTTTTCAGAAGTCAGCATGACAAAGTACTTCCCTTTTGCCATGCACAAAGAAATGCTGGCTTACACAGACGAGAGTCTCAAGTGGGATAAGAATACGGAGGCACTTCACTCTATTTTCTCAAACTGAAAGGAATCAAATGTCTACTTAAGGATAAAACAAAGCAAGAAAACAAACACCCACGGAAAGCACACAAACCTTTGCAGGCCCTTCAGATCAAAGTGCTCCAATAGCAGTAGCTATAGAAGCTGTTACGCTCTACAGTTCCTCTGGTAGCTTTGTGGTTGGAGGTGGTGATCTTTCCATGGGCTTTGCTGTGTTTGTTTTTAAGCACCAGTAAGAAACATCACCAGTCTTTTATCTGCACATCAATAAAGCAGAGAATACAGCTCTGAGCAGCCATCTGCCAGGACTTGTTTTAAGAAACAGTCAAGGGAGTTGACAAGGCCCCATGTTCCAGGTCTTCTGATCTGGTCCTCAATGCAATCTGTTGCCAGGACCTTGAACAGCCACAGCATGCAAATACAGTTTAATAATGGAGTCTTACAGAAAACAGAGGCTGGCCTGAAATCGTGCATCTATACAGATGAGCAAAAAGGGCTCAAGTCAGGGCTTAAGATTTATCACATCATATAAATGCACAATACATGCACTTCAGGAGAGATCCTGAATTCTCCTATAAATATGCTCATTTAAAAAAAAAAAGTTAAACTCAGTAGCTTCCTCAAATTAAAATCCCGAATAAACCAATAGCAGTTGTTCAAACACACAGCACTGGACATTTGCGGATGGCAACAACAGCGCAGATCATTATTCCTATTGCCGCGGCTGCAATGATGCAGGTTATCACTTGACAGCTGTCAGCACTGTACCTCGCTAACTCGGGTGGGACTCTAACCCACAATCCCTGGAATTGACCTGAGTTCTAGATGGTTATGAACTCGTGATTAAAAGTGCCCAAGCGCTAGCCTAGCTTACAAGTGCTAGCCAAAGGTGGGGCTCGAACCCACAATCCCTGCAATCAGACACAGTGCTACAAGGCACCTGTCCTTCCCGGTCATTACCTTCCCGTCCCGCACCCCTGCACTAGTCCACCCTCAGGGTAAAGCCCTCCCGCGTGGGGCGGCCCCTCACGTCCGACGGAGTCCCCGGCTCCAGCGTACGCCTTACGGAGCCTTCCCTTTAAACGTACCTGGTCCGCTTCCAGATGGTCCTCGTCTGTCCCCGCAGTGATCGGATGAGCAGAGGGAGTCCGTCCAACAATTCTCAGGGCGCGCCAAAGGCGTCTCCCTCCTCAACTGGTCCTGCAGCCGAACAGAGAGTGTCCCATCTGGGGTGCCCAACTGCTCTGCGGAATCAAACTCTCGAACCCACGTCAGGTTAGGAGAGCAGAGACGTCTTTCTTTCAGCGCTGTGCCACACGCCGGGCGCACGGGGGATCGCTCCTCCTAGCGTGCGTGCCACAGTGGGGTCTCGATACATTCATTAGCCCAGCCATACATATCCAGTAGTATTACCCAAAACGGGGAAGCAGCGCGGCCGTGGCAGCACTGCGGGGAAACCTGCTGCGCTGCAGCGTGTGCCCAGAGCCTCCGGTCCCGCTGCTGGGCACCGCCGGGTGCAGCCTGGCCCCGTCCTCTCCGCACCTCCCTGCACGGGGCGGGCGGCGGCGGGACGGCGGGGCAGCTAAACGCCGCTTCCCCCGCGCAGAGCCCCGCGGCTCCGCCATCACGCCGACCCCCTGTCCGCGGCCGCCATTGGCGGAGAGCCCACGCTTGCCCCCCATCCTCCGCGCTGCCATTGGTCGGTCAGCCGGATTGGGGTGGACGCTCCGCGCGGACTCCGTTCCGGCCGCGGTCGCGCCGTCATTGCGTCATCTCCGCGCGCGTCCCGCATGGCCTCGGCCCGGCCCGGCCCGGCCCGGCCGCCCGCGGCACATCCCCGCGCCGTGCGCCCGCTCCGCATCCAGGGCCCCGGGGCGGCCTGGCCCCGGCTGGGACTGCGGGCAGAGGACGAGGAGGGCGGGGACGCGGGGGACGGCAGTGCAGCCCGCCCCAAGCGTAGTCCAAGTGCCCGCACAGCAGCACCTCCACGAGGAGCAGGTCGGCATCGCTGTGGAGCAGCCGAGCCTCTTGGAGAGGAGTAGAATCAGGCACCCGCGGTCCCAGGCACCGGGCAGCACATGCAAGTGTGATGCACTCACACTTCTCTCTAAATTCTGTGCTTGATTAAATCCGAAGAAATCCTTATACCATGATGCTTCCAACCAAATGATGTCAAAATATTCTTTCTCACCCTTCACTTCCCTTTCCTGCATTTGAAGCAGCAGCCCGCTGATCACTGGGGGCTCAGTTTACTATCAGAGATTGTCAGTGGTCATCTGAAGGTTTTGTTGGCTGTCAGAGGGCTCCACTGATCATCAGAGATCTTCACTGACGGTCAGAGGGCTTCATTAATCAACAGAGAGTGTCATCGGTCATCAGAGAGGAGATTTGAGGTGCCTAAGAGAGGGCATTTGGGGACTCCACGTTGGATAGTGATGGAGGGGAAGTGGGACTGAAGGAGGAGGGCTGAAGCAGATTCAAGTGAGGAGCAATTGGCTGTGATAAGGGAGGGGGTAAAAGGAGAGTGACCTGGGGACATCATGGCCATGGAGGTGGAACAGAGGGTGAAGGGTTTGGCAGGAACTGGAAGGAGGAATTGGGAGAGAGCAGAGGGAGGGTACTGGGGCTGCTAGGCAGCATGGGGTGCTCTGTCCTTTAGGATTTTGGAGGAGGCAGCACAGAGGGGATGGAGAGATTCACGGGTGCAGGACGTGGGGTGCGGGGCACGGAGCTGGGGACCCCTCAAGCACCTAGGGGTGGCCTCTGCCAGGCAGGACAGATGTGAGCGGTTCCTGCTGAGCGTGGGGACAAGGACGCAGACACACAGAGCATGGCTTTGCTGAGGGCTTTGTTGATCACTGGAGGATGTCAGCGATCATCAGGATCTTCCTTCTTCTTCAGAGGACTCCATTGGTCAGCAGAGGATGTTGGAAGGTGTCACTGACCATGGAGAAGCCTTGTCCGTGCAGGGTTTGTGCCCCAGGACTTTGGGCAGGAGGAGGGCTGGCAGCAGCCCAGGGCAGGATGTGGCTCCCCTAGGGACAGCAGCCACAGCCCCTGTCCCACCTCCACAGTGACCCTGGGCCATCCGTAGGCAGCTCGAGACCCTCCTCCTCTGCACCACAGAGCACGAGGGAAGGTCTGGGGGTGGCAGTGGTCCCCCTGGAAAGGGGTGGGGGATGGTGCCCTCCATCCCATCCATCCCAGGCCCTGATGCACAGTGCTCAGGGCTCCGGAGAGCCCAAGGGGCCCTCAGTGTCCCTGTTCCAGTGCCACGCTTATTGTAATGGACTTCATCCTTATGTCCAATCTAAAGATCTGTCCCTTGCTTTTTGCAGCCCCCCTTGAGATACTGAAGGCCACCCTTAGGAGGTCTTCTCTTCTGCTGGCTGCCAAATTCATTGCGTATCATGAAGTGCTTCGTAAGGACAAAGCAGTGGAACGTCTTTATCCTCAACAGAATAAATTTTAAAAGCCAGATTGGCTCTGCTATAGAAGCAGATGTCAAATGTGGTTTTTCTTCATTGAAAACTGATGTCTGGCAACTTGGAGACTAACGTAAATGTGTATAGAGATTTTTTTTCCCTTTTAATTTTAATAGTAAACTGAGTCTATACTTTTAATTCATGATGAAATGCTAAAAATGTGTACTCTTGTTTTCTGCCAGTGCTTGGCTGACAAAGTTTTTGGCCATTCTGTGGCATGGAATGCAATCAGCATGGAAGCATCGTTTGTTGTTGTGGATTCTGAGTAAGATTTCTCACCCTCTGCTCATGATGGGTAAGAGTTCAGATGTCCAACGAGAATGCTTGAGCTCTGCTTCCCCAACATGTGTTTTTGTGTAAGTAAAATTGAACCAGTGACTCATTTCTAGCAGTGGTGACCAGCTCAGATGTGTTGGATGGTATCGTGGACATTGAGGAACTGCTCACCTGGATCAGCAATGAGTTTGAGGACGCAGAGCTGGCAGGTGGGTGTCTGCACAGAGTGGGTGTAGCAAGGCAGCTGTCGCCGTTAAGGGGGATGCTCTGGCTGTTTCAGACATGGCAGGTGCTCTCAAGGATTCCCAAGAGAACCAAGATGGTGAAAAAGTCAGAGAGAAATACCTGAAGGGTAACCTGCTTCAGGACGAGATGCTGGGGGAAGTAGACAGCCAGAAAAGAGAACAACTCATTGCATGGATCAGTGCCACAGAGCCACAAAGCCCAGATGTCTCTAGCAGACAATAGAGAGAAGAAATGGGAAGGGAAGGGAAGGGAAGGGAAGGGAAGGGAAGGGAAGGGAAGGGAAGGGAAGGGAAGGGAAGGGAAGGGAAGGGAAAAAGGGAAGGGAAGGGAAGGGAAGGGAAGGGAAGGGAAGGGAAGGGAAGGGAAGAGAAGGGAAGGGAAGGGAAGGGTGGAGGTGGGGGCGGGGTGTGGAGGACAGATGGGGGAGGGGAGGGGAAGGCAGACTGGGAAGGGAAGGGGATGGGATAAGAAAAAAGTGGAACACCAGATAAAAGACTAAACAGATACTAACTGCACAGGGTCTCAAAATGAGCTTAGCGGAACAATGCCCCCAACCACACAAGCTGTCGCCTGCTCCAGCCAGCTGGGCCTCTTGGGACCTGAGGGATAGAAAAGTCCGGCAATAAAAGCCTCCAGCACCCGGTATTCCCTGGAGGTCTCCCATCCAAGTAGTAACCAGGCCTGACCCCGCTTAGCTTCCGAGATCGGACAAGACCAGGCGTTACCAGGGTGGGATGGCTGTAGGTGCCTCATGTTTGTGCTCCAGCCCTCTTCTCATCTTCACACCATGGACACCAACCAGCACCACTCGGCCTTCAGTCGTCAAGCAATGAAATGAGGCTGTGAACAGAGGTGGATCTCAAGCAGCTCCTCACACACGTGCACCATGCCGCAGTGAGCACTGACCCATGTTCAACATGGCAGACCTCAATGCCCTCCTGACTGACGCACTTGCACAGTGTATTCACATGACACTACTTGGACCTTATGGCACCTGCACACTAGGTCAGTGCACTCTGGAAAGGAACGTGGCGAACATGGTCAACCACAGACCCTGATAATAGAATAAAAAAAGTGATCTACAGCAGTTGTTTGATCCTTCAGGGAACACCAGCGACGAGATCCAGCAGGTGGCACTCTACTGCATGTTAAGGCTCCTTAAACGCTTACAGTACCTGTTATTCTCAGGATGTCTCCCAGCCAAATCCTTACCACCGATACTTCGATACCACTACTTGTTTCATACAGCACCTCCACACTAGGTCAGTGGACTCCAATGTCCATCTTTGTTTCTAGTATATCACTTTTTACTGGCCCACTATAGGCAGCCTTGCTCTCAATCGTCCTGTCCTTACTGTGCTACAATGTCCTGGGTGCACAAAATTCCTTTCCCAAATACAGCTAGTGTATTTTGTTTTTGACAGAACATGACAGGATATTAGGTGGCAAGATACCCTGTAGCTTGGGTGCATTCTGCTGTTGACTGGGAGTGCCTGGATGCCCAGCCGCGGCATGACAACCAGGAGTATGCAGTGTGCCGTGACTGCACAGATCACGTCTGCTGCCATGGCTTTCCCAGGACCGTCCACTGCCTGGTGCTCCTGCTGCCTCATGGTGAGGTGAGCTCTGCATTGGGCTTGGTAGCCGGTGTGCCTTGTGTCCCTGCTTCCCCTCACAGCTGTGATGGGGTTTGGCAGTTGTATGTGGCAATGCAGCTCACATGTGGCCAAGCTGGGCTGGTTGCGGGAAGCAAACATGGCTGCAGAGCAGCTCCCTGTAGTCCCAAAGAAGGAGGAGCAGAGTGCCTAGCTGGGAGGAGGCCACTGGAGCACCCATGGCAGCTGTTTTTTCAGGAATCTGCACTCCAGCACTGCCCTACATGTGATGGTGAACCTGGGTGAGTCCCCTCCGTCCTGAATATAAAATCAGTTATCACTAGATATGTTACTATTGTAACAAGGAAGATGAGATGTCTTGTAAGCTGAACTTAACTGAATGTGAATGTTCTGTCGCCATCAACAACAGCACCACTTCTGTTGAAGAAGTCTATGCAAAAATGAAATAGGTCACAGGCAGGAGTTGGGATTTTTTCCAAGCCATGCTGCTGACTGATTGTTTTAATGAATGGAGTCTGGATTCTGGTTTGCCTCAGTGGTGGAATCACTGGGACTCACAGGATGTGGAAAGTGGCTTGTAAATATTGGTTCAATGTGACTGTATGTATCTATGTCTTTGATAATCGCTATTGTGTTTGTAAAATATATAATATATTTGTTTTTCTTTTTCTGCTTAGCTCTGCTAAGCACCAAAAACATCACTCTGGAAGAAGACTATAACTGTTCCAGTGTCTCAAACATTGGGGTATCGCTTAGAGTCAGAGAAGGAACTGAAAACGTGTTTAATTTGCAGTCAGAACAGGAAACCAAAATTGTATATGGAAACGGTGCAGAGTACTCTGTGCTCATTTTACAGTTGGAAAACAGAACTAAAAGTGCTTACCAAAGAAGGTTCTGCATATTTGTCTGCATATTTGCAGTTGGAATAGTAAACCAAAAGTACCAAAAGATGGTGCAGCATACACCTGAGACTGGATGGCCCTACCCCTCTTGTTTAAGTCTGGGATATTTCCCTGGTTGCAAGAGATGCCAATATTACAAATGAGATGCTGGTCCCCTGCCAGTCTGTAAAGGATCCCAAGCTGGAGGATTTAGCTGCAAAGGGAAGTGCAATGCCCATTTCCTTGCATCAAGGGACCCTTTCCTCTTTTTTTCCCTCACCCTAGCAGAGATGTATTTGTCTCGCTCTGTCAGCTGTGTTGTTGTGAAATAGGTCTGGCTCCTGCCTGAGAAGGAACTTCCTGAATCTCAAGAAGCACATTGACAGTGGTGAGGCCCTACAGACTGCATCAGCCTTTGAACTTGTGATGGGGTATTGGAGATGGCAAGGGATGAGGCACTGCAGCTCTCCCCACTTTTCATTTTTCATTTTTTTTTGCCACTGCTCAGTTGCCAGAATCTCATCTCTTTATTTTGAATAGGGGGCACCAGACAAAAAACATTCTTGTCCATTTTTGTCCATGTCCATGTGCTGATAGAGGTCAGCACAGAGATGCTTTCTGTGTTGTGCTGGCAGCCTCTGAAGAGAAAGAAGCATATCTGAGAGTGTCTGACTAACCCTGCCCGCTGGGAGATAATAATCTCTCCTCAGGGGTTATTGCACACAAGAGAGGCTATTGGCCAGTTCCTGCCAGCCAGGGCTGAGTTGACCTTCCTCCATGATGAGGCTCTGGGATGGTTTTGAGATACACAGAAAGGCATTGGCAGGCCCCAGGACAAACACTGAGCACTCTGAGTCCTTGGAATCCGTTGGGTATCGTGAGAACAGCACAGCTGTGTAAAACGGAAATAGTCAATTTCTCTGCAGGCATTGTCATGTCCCCATAAAGTCAAAGCTGTTTTAGGAAAATACTCAGATAGGATTGACAGATGTGATCAAGCCTAAATTGGAGTTATTAAGCCTGCCAAGGAAGACTCACTTCATCAGAGCCACTGCCTGGTTCAATAACTTACATTGCCTGGTTCAGCCACTTACCCAGTTTTCCTAAGGAGGTGGTGGAAAAGGCCACCTTTATCCCAGATAAGGAAGGTGAGACAAAGACCTCCCTGTGCAGAATTAATGGCTTTATTCATGCCTCTACAGAAGGACTTTGTTCCAGGATGGAACAGGGATTGGTCTTTGCCACATGTCTCTCTATTCCTCTGTTCCAAATAGGAATTAGCTGTCCTGTGAGGACAAATATGAACCTAGGCCATTTTTAGATCATGGTCTCAGAATTACAGAATCACAGAATGGTCATGTTTGGGGCCTCTGAAGGTCATCTGTTCCAACACCACTCCTCTAGCAAAAACATCTTGTCACAACTCATCAGATAAGGGTGGTTGAGGTTTTGAAATTCCCTCAGGCTAAATTAAAGTGAAATGATGAGTCATTTTCCAAGGTTATCAGCACCACTGCAGGCATGTTCTGCAGTGGAGCTGGGAATTGCCATTCAGTAGGCTGTTCCAAAAACCATGGAGAAGAAAGGGCTAGGAGGGAGCTACCCTGAGCTCACCTGGTCCACCAGGAGAACACAGTCCTCACAAGAGCAGGTTACACAGAGGGGTCTGGGCCAGGAGCCTTCACGTTTGTACAAGCAGCCACTAGGAAGTGCGAGGGACAAGGAATGCGGCAACCTAGACAAACAGAGTGGAGGAGCAGTGAAGGCATGGTGTGGCAGTTTGTGTGGTAGTTCACACAGGCAGGACAGAGAGGGAGAGTGAAATCCAAGCTGCTTTCTTCTTATCTGGGAACAGCAAGGTGCAGTGCTCTATTGAAATGTATCTGGTGGCCACCTACTGCAACAATCAGGCTGAGACAGAATCCCAGGCAGAGGGGCTTCCAACTTTCCAGGCTGATGTATGCACCTAAATGAACTTCCCAAGGAGTGACAGGTCCGCTCAAAACTTCAGCTGTGGAGAACTCCAGAATCTAGAAGCCCCTCGAGGGCCTGAGGGAAGAGGGTGTGCAAGGTGTGCCCAGGTGAATAAACTTTTTGAGCAGGTGAGCAGGCTGCAATCAGAAAGAAAGATTGATGCTTGGTATCATGCAAAAACACAGTCAGCACAATAACCCTCTCTTCTGTACTTGCAAGGGTAAGAAACTAAGCAAGCTACCAACTCGTAGGAGATAGATCACAAAATCATGCAGGATAAGGGAGCAGAAGGAGTTTTTCCCTTGTTCAAGTCCTCCTAACCAACAAATACAAAGCTCTGGGTAAGGAAAGTGAGCAAAGTGTGGATAATATTTCAAAACAGAAAGGGACAACCAAGTTAAGATGCTTCAAGTGAGGATTCGAGTTATAGAACTACAGAATCATAGAATCATTTCAGTTGGATGGTCTGCTTAAAGGTCATCTAGCCCAGTTCTCCTGCAATTCATTGGGACACCTGCAGTGAAATCAAGTTGTTCAGGGAACTCAGAACTCAAGGTTCAGCCTGGCCTTGAGTGTCTCCAAGGATGGGACTTTCACGACCTCTCTGAGCAACTTGTTTCAGTGCCTCATTACCCTTATTGTAAAACACTTTTTGTTTATATCTGATCTAAATCTCCCCTTTTTTAGTCTGAAATCATTTCCCCTAGTCCTATCATAACAGACCCTGCTAAATAATGTTTCCTTCTTTCTTATTGTCCCCTTTAATATACTGAAAAGCCACTACCTGGAAATGCTGTTTTTTGGGAAGTTCTTTCATTGGAAAATTTTTGAAAGGCAAAGGTAATGTGGGATTTAAACAAAATTAAAACTTCATTTAAAGCTGTGAAATATAAATTACTTAAATGTTCTCCCTCTTCTTTCTGCTCCCTCCCTTGTCCTTAGGAAGACTGAAAAGAAAAACAGTAGCTGTTACAATGCAATTAAACTAACAGTAATGTAAAATCCTTGACCTTCCTTAACTGTGCTCCAGTTGTAAGAGTGAAGTCAGATTTGTCAATATATTATCCCTTTCAGGGTCAAAACATATTATAAACTTCCTGCCAGGAACAATGGAAGAGTCTGTACTTGTCTGCAACAAACACACGAGATCATATTCAAGATATTTTTGTGTTGTTTCAACTCAGAGATTGCTGATGTACTGAGAGGAGTTTCTCTAAAGTTCTGCAAGGGCAAGGAAAAGCAAGCATGAATGTGATAACAGGACAGAGATGAACCAAGCCTGTTGCTGGCTTCTAACACATCTGTTTCCATGTAAAAATAAGGCTATTTCCTTGTAACTTGAGTGTGCAGGAAGTTTGGTTTTAAAAAAAACGCTCTCCTTAATTCAGAACACCGGTCTGTGGTCAGACACCTTGTCAACAATGATAGTTGTTCAGTGTTCAAGATGTATGTGACATTCTAAAAGCATTATCTTCTAAGGAATATGATCAAAAGTCCACAAAATCCAAACAGGGGATTCACTGTACAAGATTCTAAGAGCAGGAAACTGGAAAAATGAAAGCATGTTTAAAAAGGAAACCTACTGTAAAAGTTGCTGAGGTATAACAGCAAAATGTTATGCTTTGATTCTGACATGAATTACTTAGGGAAGGCTGGAAAACCTTCACAGTGCCTTGGTTTATTTGACTCACATGCCTTTCCGTATTTGGCTCAGCCATTAGAGAATATTGAACATCCCTGAGTTTGTCTGTGTTTTCCTGATGCTGAAGTTGCCAAATTTTGGAAATGTGCAAAATCAGCTTCAATATGCAATGTCTAAGAGAGAGAAGATCTGTTAGAGCTTCTGAACAGCTTTAGAACCTGTAGCTTTTCACTGCATAAAAATTGCACACTGAAAATTCAAAGAACAATGCACATTTAGTCCCTGCCTCCTCCAGTTCCTGATGGCATGCCAAATACTGCAGCTTCCCTGCGAACCATGGAGCTTATAGAGAGCATTTCCCCAACTCCATTTGAGCTGCAAAATGCTTTGTACAACTTAGAAAACTTAGAAAAAAATACAATGGCACTTGTATGATCACATAAATAAATAGCATTTGCATACCATTATTTTCTCTTTTTTTTTTTTTTTTAATTTTCCCAGAAGTAACCGCAGGGACTTTGCCCTGAGAA